TTCGCCAACAGTAACCCAAGACAAACTTTTCCAATTCAGGGTGTTCTTTTGTGTTGACTCCATCATACAACCGTCTTGGAAAGGCCTTTCCACCATCTGTCAGCGATTTGCGTCCCTGCCACAGTGGACAGGAAAAAAAAGGAGGTTCTTCGCATTTGTTTGGTCCATTCTTTGTTTTGATGAGACACTTTGGCATGTTTGATTTTCAAACTTTTGGCATGTGACTGCCAAGCACGGTTTCCATCTGCAAAAACAATGGTGCGCGGACGTGCGCTCTTGGATTTTTTTTCGAAGAGGCTTGCAGCTTTGATATCAGACCAAACTCTCAGTAGGCGTGTGCAAGTGCAAGAGAACATAACAATAACGTAGCATGACGTGTGTGTGCAAGTTGACATGAACGTCATTGCCCACCCCACCCCACCCAACCCCACCCCAAGATAACCATAACGTAGCATGACGTGTGTGTGGTGTGTGCAAGTGCAAGAGAACATAACAATAACGTAGCATGACGTGTGTGTGGTGTGTGTGCAAGTTGACATGAACGTCATTGCCCCACCCCACCCCACCCAACCCCACCCCAAGATAGCCCTAACGTAGCATGACGTCTGTGTGCTAGTTGACATGAAAGACCATCAAAAAACGAAAAATTGCCAAAAAATGCTTAAAACACCACGGCCGTCTATGGGTCGGGCTCCAACTACTACTAACTACTACTAACTACTACTAACTACTACTAACTACTACTAACTACTACTAACTACTACCAACTACTACTAACTACTACTAACTACTACCAACTACTACCAACTACTAACCTACTGACTACTACTACTACTACTACTACACTACTACTACCAACTACTACTAACTACTACTAACTACTACTAACTACTACTAACTACTACTAACTACTACTAACTACTACTACTACTACTACTAGCTACTAGCTACTACTAGCTACTACTAGCTACTACTAGCTACTACTAGCTACTACTAGCTACTACTAGCTACTACTAGCTACTACTAGCTACTACTAGCTACTACTAGCTACTACTAGCTACTACTAGCTACTACTAGCTACTACTAGCTACTAGCTACTAACTACTAACTACTAGGTACACGGCTCACAGGCGGCCGTGAGGAATTCAGCACGCCAGCAATGCTGAGCATTTGTTTTTCTGCTGATTTACAGTGGTCAGAGCATTCCAGTCCATTTTGGATCTTTCACGCAGCCGTGCCATTGGTTAAAGCGGCTTCATCTCGTAATTAGATGGGGAAAAATATGTTTTTTAGTCATTTTGCAATGCAGTCAAACTATTTGTTTCAGTGGATGAAGCCGTCATTGAAAGTCATGATATTTCTTCAGCAGATCGACAAGGCATGACATCAATTCTTTGGGAGAACACGGCAAAATTGTTTGACGCCACATCCATTGCTGGATCATTGAATGCACACCTTGACTCATTTTGTGATGGCCATTTCTCTTTTAAGCGTAGCAGCAAGTCCAAGAGAATATCTTGTAAGGCGGGCAGCCAAGAACGTTATCAGCCCCCCCCAAACCCCCCCCAAGAAACAACAATGCAAAAATCAAGAGTGTCTTGCAAGTTACAAGAAGAAGTTGATAGCGTGTGCCAGGGTACGGTGCGAGAGAAGAGTGGATAGCGTAGCAGCAAGTCCAAGAGAATATCTTGTAAGGCGGGCAGCCAAGAACGTTATCAGCCTCCCCCAACCCCCCCCAAGAAACAACAATGCAAAAATCAAGAGTATCTTGCAAGTTACAAGAAGAAGTTGATAGCGTGTGCCAGGGTACGGTGCGAGAGAAGAGTGGATAGCGTAGCAGCAAGTCCAAGAGAATATCTTGTAAGGCGGGCAGCCAAGAACGTTATCAGCCTCCCCCAACCCCCCCCAAGAAGCAACAATGCAAAAATCAAGAGTATCTTGCAAGTTACAAGAAGAAGTTGATAGCGTGTGCCAGGGTACGGTGCAAGAGAAGAGTGGATAGCGTAGCAGCAAGTCCAAGAGAATATCTCGTAAGGCGGGCAGCCAAGAACGTTATCAGCCCCCCCAAAATCCCCCCCCAAGAAACAACAATGCAAAAATCAAGAGTGTCTTGCAAGTTACAAGAAGAAGTTGATAGCGTGTGCCAGGGTACGGTGCAAGAGAAGAGTGGATAGCGTAGCAGCAAGTCCAAGAGAATATCTTGTAAGGCGGGCAGCCAAGAACGTTATCAGCCCCCCCCAAAACCCCCCAAAACCCCCCAAAACCCCCCAAAACCCACGGCCGTCTATAAGCCGTGGTCCAACTAGTCACTACTAACTACTAACTACTAACTACTACTACCTACTACTACCTACTACTAACTACTACTAACTACTACTAACTACTACTACTAACTACTACCAACTACTACTAACTACTACTAACTACTACTAACTACTACTAACTACTACTAACTACTACTAACTACTACTATATATAATCAAAATAATAATCAATATATATATATATATATATCTCTCTCTCTTTATGGCTTTGATTTGTAAATATATATATATATGTTTAATACACACATACATATATATATATATAACTTATAGAATCCCAACTTTGGCCTGGATGACATAAGATATAACAATATAACTCCTAATGAAGCCCCCTTTGGGGTCCCCTTTTCGTTCGCCATCCAGGATGCCTCTCGAAGCCTTGCGCAGCGCGGCCCATGTCACCGTTGACGCCAAAAGTCTGGCTGTGGGCGATGGCGGGAACGAGGACCGACCTGGGATGGAAAAATCCTGGGAAGATTTATGGGAAGTTCATGTTTTCATTATTATATATATATATATACATACAGCAGTATATATAAATTATAAATTATGATAAATTACTAATCCAGTAAAAAAAACATGGGAACCTGAGAATTTATGAGATTGTTTGATGTTCTTTGTTGTTGTTTCGCATAATTCCCATGCGTTTGTTCCGTGAAATGTTTCCTGAAAACAATTCCCGGGACAGGGAATCGCTTTGTTTAGCTCCGAAAGGTGTCCCATGTTGAAGTGGCTGATCCTGCAATCATTGGGATCGTTCGGCGAACGAACATCAGCTATTTGGAGACTTAACTTTTTGTTTGTATATGTATGTTCGCCGGAGGGAATCATCAGCATGATCACGGTGATGTTTTTTTCCTTTCTCTCTCTCTCTCTATACTGCCTATAACTTGAGAGACAGTGACACTTTGAACGGTCAATAAAACATGGAGAAAAAGTTCGGAACAACCGAAAATACTGACAATGTCGCGATACAGGCATCTGACAAAGTCGTACCTGTTTTAGGAAAATCGTTGTGCCTTGGGGAAGTGTGTTTCGCAAAAGTCGTGCCTTTAGCAAGATCGCATAGGAACTCTGGAGTTTGGATGTGTAACCCCTTTTCTTTTGAGATCACGTAGTAGCTTATCACTATTATCATGCAGAATTCCAGGTTGTGGGTCTGTTGATTAGTTATAGCTAAGATGGCGTTGGGCTCGTGATTTGACGCTTTTGGATGTTCGTCCCAGATGATCCTGTTTTTGAATTCCAAGCTTCTATAAGCTTCTTGTCTGCTTAATAATAAAGAATGTTGAAGGTTCCCCCCACCAGAAGCTGTCAATTCAACGGATGGTTCTCGATCTAGCCATTTTGCTCGGCCCAAACCTTGACTATGATGGAGACACCCGTGTATTAATTACGACTGATATTGATTGATATTGGGATATATATATATATATACATATTGGGATATTCAATAATATGATATAAAGATATATTGATATAAATAGTATCATATTTGCTGGATATTAATTAACGTTAATATAATATTTATATATATATATATATATCCAGCAAATGTTTTTGCTGCTGTGATTCTGCCAGGTTGGGATGGGCAAAGTCGTCTCAGTGCCAGGCAGGGATGAAGATTTGGATGAGCATTTGGAGCATTTATAGATGAATTTGCACTAAAGATGATTAATGTTATTAAAGATGATAAATGATTATAGTTATGTTGATTTGCCAAAGTTACCAGAGAGTATGGGGGATGGTAGGGGTCAAGGTATACCCAAAAATTGGATGCTGCACGATGAATAGTAAACAATAAAAAATCGATTTGGATATATCTATATAGATGGTTTCCCCTGAAATTATGACCCATGGATGGTGCATGGATCCATATGGCCCTGTGGATGTAGAAGGATATTGCTGATTAGTTTTATTGATGACTAGTAATCAGGTATATAATTGCACCCAACAATGGCCATCCTGGATTGGGGTTTCTGAAATTGTGTATACCACTAGCAATGATATTGTGTACTACGACCCCCTTTTGTTGGTTGCTGAGATGTTTTTTGGCATTGGCTTTATCACATTGCGTACTATATATAAATATATTTTTATAGAAACTAATGCACGTAATTTAATTGATGTTCCAATTATTTATGATATTAGTTGTTGATTGAGTTTCTAAGTTGCGATTTTTCAAACCCAATATAACATAAACATGTTACTTAAGAATCATGTCCGTTATATTAGTTGTCAAGATTACCAGCTCTCGTCCCTCAGGCCAAAACCTCTTTGTACTCTCACAGGAAACAAGCAACAAGTCTCTCAATATAGTCAGCTTCTAGTCTGTTCAAGTCTGATTGGAGGATTTATGTATATATATATATATGTGATATATGATATTTGATATATGATATATGATATATGATATATTTATATGATATACATATTTGAAATACATACATATATTTATATATATACATATCCATATATATATATACATATCCATATATATATATACATATCCTTATATATATACATATCCTTATATATATACATATCCTTATATATATGTACATATTAAACACAGGATTGAAGTGATATTCCACTGAATGCCTGGTCAAGATCAGCTTCTGGAATCGAGGTGTTGGAGATTTGTCTCCCGGCGGGGAATTTGCAGCGCTATCGGTGAATGGCTGCGTGCGCAGCTGCGACGTTGCGGTGTTGGGCACGGTGTCCAATTGGGCAGGCGCTGCAAGCGTTTCCTCGGTGTCCTCATGGCTGGGAAATCCCTTCAAAATGGAGGTTTTAGTGGGAAAGTCATGTATAAACGTTGGTTAAATGGTAAAATGATAGGACACCCCCGATCATATCAAAGACTTGCCCATATGGACTCCCAAAACGAAGTAAAATATATAAATAGATTCAGCAATAAACCCGGGTTCTCTAGAGGGATATGTAACATTCGGGGGAAGTGATTATGATCTCCACAAAACAACGATCAGCATCGTTGGCAACAGGCAGATGGGACTGGGTCAATACCAAATTACCAGATGACTATCCGATGGACTATCTTGCTGGGAGGCTTGAGCTATTTACAGTGTCATTGCCAGGATTTTCGTGGTTTGGTGATTGGTTCGTTCAGAGAGTTAGCATCTCCAATTTGTTTTGCACAAAAACACGTTTCATTAAGAGTCTCAACAATCAAGACTATGGTATGCTTTTTCTGTCCCAGATTCAGGTTCCAAGATGTTCTCTAGCGCATGAAATGTGACATAACGCCTTGTAATTGAGCATGGTTGACCAGAAAATACCCATTGATTCACCATGTATGATTGTCTCATGGAACAATGAGGATTTAGAATGTCCATGGCGGACCAAAAAGATATCAGGGGTCTCTTGAGTGAAGCATCGAAGAGCTCACCAACACGCTATCAAAATTTAATGAAATTGATGGATTTCCCTTGGACAATTGTCACTATGTGAGTTTAATGGATGGTAAACATGATAGAGTCATCTAATTTATCGAACGTCTGAAATTGAAACTTCTAAAACCAGCTGGATCAGCCTTGTGATACAGTAGATTTGTTGCATCTTCTAATCCATTCCGATGATCAAGTGGGAGCCCTTCACCCTCCCCAATATGTATGTATATATATATATTTACAAATATAAATATGATAGAACATCATCCTACAGAGACATCCCTGCATGTCATGTCACATAACATGATCCAGACGTAAGCCGCTGATAGGCTTTTGTGCTCACAGGGAAAACGCAGGTGAGCGCCGTTGCATTGCTGCCTGACATGGCAGCGGAGCTGTGACTGGGGCTTGAGGCTGAAGAGACCTACAAGATCCCAGAGGAGCGAGATAGGGGAGCCCAATGGCAACGGATGGTGGAGCAGGGCATCTGAGTCCTGATGGAAGCCCACAGGCATCTGCGCATGGAAGTCTAGTAGGTCAAGCGTTGGATGGAGCAGAAATAGCAAGAAGGATGATGCAAGCTGCAGAGACGGCTGCCCAAGCTGCGTCTGCGACAGCAAGTGCCGTGGAGTTTTTCAGGCTGAAGGTGGAAGTAGCAGTTCAAGGGGTACAGACTGGTTCAAACCGTTGCCCAAACCCAATGTGTTTGAGCCCAAGGACTACGACCAGGAGGTTGCAATGTGGCGTGAATGGTGGTGGACGGTCACTCAGTGCCTGTGCACATTGGACAGCAAGTATGAGACAGAGATCAAGTACTGTACATCGAGACCCACACCACGGTGTACCAGGACCCTGGGCTAATGGGTGATGATGAAAAGAAGCGATCCATGTTCCTCTACGGGTTGCTTGCTTCACTACTTCGTGGACGCCTTCTGACTGTTCTTCGTGGGACTCCTCAAAACAATGGGTATGAGGCACTAAGGCAATTGGTCTTGCAGTGCAAACCCACGTCTCGGAACAGAAGCCTGGGAATTCTCAACGCTTTGGTGAGCTGGAAGGAATTCGATATGAAGGGCGCTCTCCTCATCGTGAAGCTGGAGGAAGCCTTCAGAGAGTACGACAAGATCTCACCACAACCATTGGCTGCTGAGATGAATGAAGTTTGCCATCTTGCTCAGGTGCATAACTGGCCAACTACGTATGCACATCAACGTTACGCTCAAGGAGGATGCCAGCTATGACACCCTGAGGGAAACAGTTCTTCAATATGATCGAGCCAACATTCGATGGACTGAAGCTATGGCTTTGGGAACTTTGAGAACTGATGATGGAGGACCAGCCCCAATGGAGGTTGACCGAGTCAAAGATGGAAAAGGAAAAGACAAGGGAAAGAAAGGCAAAGCGAAGGGCAAGGACTTCAAGGGCACTAGCAAGGTAAAGCACTCGAAGTCTGATGGTGGCAAATCGAAGGGAAAAGACAAGGGCAAAAGCAAGGACTATGGAAAGCATGGCAAGTCTGCAGGGCAAGGCCGTGGAAGAGGACCTCTACCTGCAGATACGTGCAAACTATGCGGTGGACGAGGTCATTGGAGCCGTGAATGTCCAGTCAGGACATTGAGACAAGTTGCTCAGACTCAAGATGGTGGGTCATCTGTGGCAACTCAATCGATGGTGAGCAGTGGAGGATCCGGAACTCAACCTGCTCAAGGGTCACCGCAATCAACAGCTGTGTGGAGGATCATTCAGGTGGACTTGGATGACTTGGATGAAACTATGGGTGAGCCCGTTGTCAGGATGCTGAGAATGGTCAAGGCTACGGAGACCTACGACATGACCTATAGCGACAGCGACGATGATTGGTTGTTGTGCACTGAGTGTGGAGATGGTTGCAATGCCTACTTCATGGACTATGCCAACGACACCATGAACGTTGCTGTTGAGCTCGAGGTGACTGGTGGTTTCAAGGCCGCTGGTGGATGAAGGTGCCTACATCAGAGGTGTGAGATTGGAGGACGACATCCGCATCGTGCTGGACAGCGGTGCGGACATGTCGGTGCTGCCCATTAAGTACAAGGACATTGGTTTGGCCCTTTGGCCCTTAGCAAAGCAAGCATCTTGAGGGATGCACAGGGCAATCGAATGGCTGGTGGAGCTCTTCGTCAAGCTGTTGTGGAGCTCGTGGATGATGAAGGCAACAAAGCCTGCATCAAGGAAACCTTTGCTTTGTCAAACGTGATGGAACCACTTTGGGCTTTGGGAAAGATCAAGACGTTCAAGAACCTCAACGAGTACCACCGTGGCATGGTTCGAGAAGTTCGAGCAATCTTGAAAGAAGAAGGTCAAAGGAGAGATCGTCTTCGAGCCCGTCGTGCAGAAAGACAAGCTCGAGTAGCAAGGCTTGGAGTCACGCTGAGTGAGGAGGCAGAAGAACAGACAAGTGAATTGACGGACGATGCGGAGGTGAACATTAGAAGTGTAAAGCCTCAGGCGGTTGCTGGTGACATGGAAGAGGAGCAGCCCGAGTCCGAGAACGAGATGGCTGTAGATGAAGAGGTGGACAATGAGGCCCTGGAGTGCGAGATGATCTGGGGTCTACTTGATCGAGATCAACCTGGTGATGGTGGAGGAGCAGATGCTGATGTGGAATCTGCAGGAGCCGGAGGTGCAGATTTAGACAGCACCTCACTACGTGGAACTGGCTTCGACTACGACTATGAGGAGCCAGAGGTTGAGATGGAGAACGAGCAGGAGGAGTCCGGGAGCTATGCATCTACGGATTATGGATCCCTGAGCATCATCATCGAGGACTTCGACGCTTTCGATGGATTGGACCACGAGGCCTACGACGAGTACAGGTGGCAGTTGCTCTTCGACGCCCGAGCACTACGTGGTGAAGCAGCTGGCTTGGCTTCGGAGGCTCCCTGTGACCGAGGAGATTTGGAACGAGATTAGAGATTTGATGAGCCTGCAGAAGTCGATGCTTGGAGGACCAGAAATACGGAAGAGAGCAATCAGCTATCTTCTTGGCCGGCGACGTTACATGTTTTGGGAGAGTTTGGGGCGCCTCGACCCAAATGAGGCGCAAGAAGAAAGCATGTTGCCGGACGAATGGGCCGCTGTGCGCTACGGTTGGGGCCATTCAATCGCAGATGAGCAGCCGAGAGACCCAGGAGCTGAAAGTGATTCATGGCCGTCAACAGATCATGGTGGAGCTGATGGAAAAGATGGAGAAGAAGCGCGAGGATCTTCTCCGCCGCCAGTTGTGACAGAAGAAACTGGCACATCTTCGAGCACACCTGCATCTATGCCGACAACAACTGGCATGAGTGCGGGTGGAAAGGGAAAACACGGAGGCAAAGGTCGAAACCCTCCGGATTGCAACGATCCACCCCTGGAGGATGAAGCCGAAATTTATATAATTCAAATGAAGTTCGCTTGGAAATCTCAAAGGAGATTTGCCGACGCAAAAGGCAGGGTGATAGAACATCATCCTACAGAGACATCCCTGCATGTCATGTCACATAACATGATCCAGACGTAAGCCGCTGATAGGCTTTTGTGCTCACAGGGAAAACGCAGGTGAGCGCCGTTGCATTGCTGCCTGACAATATCATATATGTATCTAAATCTATATGCATATATATATATATATATGTATATATCTCATGATCAATCACGAAATTTCCAGATTTCTGACGCTTAGCTAGGTCATCAGGGGTCTAGGTCCAGCGGATCCTCCATGTTTTTCGCCCGGGTGGCACGGTGGCGGTCAGGCTCAGCGATTGAGGCAGCCTGTCACGTGACATGGCCGGCAGAGACGGGCTACGTACCAGCCATGCGACGCTTGGTCAAAAATGAACGGGTGTACCCTCTGGTAAACAAACATAGCTATTGAAAATGGCCATTTGTAGTGGATTTTCCCATTAAACATTGTGATTTTCCATAGTTGTTAGTTTACCAGAGGGTAATGACCATGTTTGGAAAAAGGGGATTTAACGATGATCATTATATTATATACCCATTATTGTCCATTATTAGCCATCATTTCACACATGTTACCCAATATTGACTATGTGGGTTTGTCTGAACATAGAATTGTCCAAAATCCCATAGTTAATCAATGTTAATCATCATGTTACCGATAAACAATGGCCATAAAAAGTGTCTACCCAATTTTCAGACACATCCAGTTTTGGAAACCGGGAGATTTACAATCAACAATGGGGGGAATCATGAGGCTAGTATGGGATATGATATACAACTATAATCTTGGGTAATCCTTTGCCATTTTGATGGGATATATATATATATGTTGACCCGCTAAAACCAGCGTATTTTATTGCAGGGTATCTGAGGTTGGCCATGTTCCTGTCATGTTGCAATTCTTCTCCTAGCTATGGCCTGGCATGTTGTGATTGAAAAGTGAGTGCGCGCAGTACAGCATAGGTTAAACAGCCAGCAGCTGCTGCGTCTTGCAGCGTAGAACCCGAGGTTCTTCAGGAAGTGCCTTGGAATTTGCTCTACTTGAAGCTATTATGGCAACTGGGCGGGACGCTGGTGGCCAGATCACACCGGTGATTCTAAGCCGAGGATTGGGCAACTCCCCCTAATCCAATGGGCACCTGAACACCATTTTCCCAATGAAAAGGTTGCAACATGTTGCAACCTTGAGGTAAATCCTCCATTTTAAATCACAACCCCAAACATCATATTGTTGCTATTTGTTGGTACTGTGAGAATATGTGGTGTTATCATATTTATAATGTTATAAGATTACAGTATATTATCATCATAATAATATATGTACTGTATATACATGTATATACATTCACATATTTTCCATGATATCATATTGTTCTGGTTGGTCTTATCATGTTTTATGTCCCCATTAAACGACCCCCATGTCGAACAGACGTGGTCAGGCCAAGCCCACGCTGGCTGTGGATGGATCGCACAACGACCGGCCGATGTCGGTGGATGGTCTGAACTTTGATCCTTATCACAGGCGCCCGCTGAAACCCTGCGATGAATTTTGGAAATGTCGAGGTAGTCATCCTGGAGTAGATAGAATCTGGTTGGTGGTTTGGAACATGGCTTTTATTTTTCCATATATTGGGAATAATCATCCCAACTGACTAATATTTTTCAGAGGGGTTGAAACCACCAACCAGGAATATATGTGACAAACAAATCCTCACTTGATTCAGTAATTTGGGGGATATGTTTGAAAATTCCATAGATATCCATATTCTATCATATTCTATCTACATTAGCACAATTACATTCAGCCATTGAAATACTGTCGAGATCCGTCATGGTATAATAGGTCACATGCAATTATCGGTTGGTACGGTACAATTGTTTATATTTCGTACAAATCCGTGTGGTAGATGCAGTATCCTGACGTATCGTGTGGTAGATGCACAATTATATTATAATAAATATCTATATTATTATATTACTGTAATATAGATAATCACGTCATTGATATTTATTCCTGCCTCCGATGTCTGAGATGACCTAAAGGATCCTAAAGGCAACATTGCCCATATGCTTAGAGGTCATGGTATGTTCACCTTCATTTAGAGGCCATTAAAAAGAGATGAATGTTGGCATATACTCAGTCAGTATACTATAGTATACTATAGTATACTTCATAGATGGAGCATCCATCAGCATTCTGGTTGGTTTGCCGATTGAAATTGATGGATTGGTTGGAGGCGCAGCTGGAAGCCGTCACTGCTCCTACAGTTTCAGTCCAAGTGATAGCCAGAAACGACATACAGTGTTGTGACGTGGTTGGTGCTTTATCTGTTTTTTGGCATTAGTTTAATTATGTTTGCAAAACTTATCATATGTTTTCATGGTTTATGACATTCTATCACAAATTCCAGCTATTTTTTCATTTTTTTTCGGTTGCGCAGCCATCCATGATCCAACCTTCATCGACCGCTCCCAGGGAATTCTACGACAACTTGTGGCACTTGGCGGGCGTGACGGATGAAACCAAGCGCCGGAGAGTGAAATGAAAAAAGCGGCCCGGGAACGGCCGAGCGCTGCTCAAACTGGGAGGGTAATCAGAAATCATGGTGAGATCATGATGTATCCATCTATTTCCATCCAAGTCTATTCCATCTATCAATCTATCCATATATAAGGTAACTACATGGCTGGGCGCGCGCAGAAGGCCGCGTCACGAAACAGTGTTTTTGCATGTTCACTGCACTGGCGCCACAGCGAGAGCGCATTTTTTCCTTTTTTATTGTGTTTCGCCTCAGCGAAACCTCTTTTTTTGTCTTTTTTTGTTGTTTTTTTTGGCGTGGTGTTGGTTGGGGGGGTGGGGGGTGGGGGGGGGGGGGGGGATGTAATAACGTTCTTTGGACTTGAACACATCTGGGATGTTATGTCATGAGATCTTTTCTTGGAATTCAACACATCTGGGATGGTACGTCATGAGATCTTTTCTTGGAATTCAACACATCTGGGATGGTACGTCATGAGATCTTTTCTTGGAATTCAACACATCTGGGATGGTACGTCATGAGATCTTTTGCTTGGAATTCAACACATCTGGGATGGTACGTCATGAGATCTTTTCTTGGAAATCAACACATCTGGGATGGTACGTCATGAGATCTTTTCTTGGAATTCAACACATCTGGGATGGTACGTCATGAGATCTTTTCTTGGAATTCAACACATCTGGGATGGTACGTCATGAGATCTTTTCTTGGAATTCAACACATCTGGGATGGTACGTCACGAGATCTTTTCTTGGAATTCAACACATCTGGGATGGTACGTCATGAGATCTTTTCTTGGAATTCAACACATCTGGGATGTTATGTCATGAGATCTTTGCTTGGAATTCAACACATCTGGGATGGTACGTCATGAGATCTTTTCTTGGAATTCAACACATCTGGGATGGTACGTCATGAGATCTTTTCTTGGAATTCAACACATCTGGGATGGTACGTCATGAGATCTTTTCTTGGAATTCAACACATTTGGGATGGTACGTCATGAGATCTTTTCTTGGAATTCAACACATCTGGGATGGTACGTCATGGAGATCTTTTCCTGGAATTCAACACATCTGGGATGGTACGTCATGAGATCTTTTCTTGGAATTCAACACATTTGGGATGGTACGTCATGAGATCTTTTCTTGGAATTCAACACATCTGGGATGGTACGTCATGAGAAACCATGCACTTTTTGGAAAGAATCCAAGCGAGGTTCTCGAGCAACTGTCTCGACTTTTTGCAGATTAAAGAAAACTTGGCGAACATGCGGTGGATGAAAATAAAAGTCATGCACTGAAGTAAACACACTTGAAAGTGTCTCAACTGAAGTAGTTTTTTTCGACGTCAAAATATGACACGCCAAGATATAAACATGGACATGTGAAGTTGCACATGCATTTCGAATGGCCAGCGTGGAGGATTTGCCATATCACCACTCATACATTTGTATCAAAACTGAGATGAAAGTGCACGAAACCATACGGCCATCTATGAGCGCCCGACCAACTACATTTAAATATACGAACTGGTATTTCATACTACATCCGGGGCCTCGCGGTCTGGTCCGCCCTCCACACATTAAAATGTCGTTGCCGTATATATACACATACATACATACACACATATATATATATATATACACCGTATATATACACATACATACATATATATATATACATACATACATACATACATATATATATATATATATTGGGATATCAATCAATAATGGGGATGTATTTGGATATAATTAAACGGTCAATACTGAGTTTCTCTCCAAACGGCACCACACGGGCCATGGGCGGGGGGAACATGGTGGGCAAGATCCTGATCCCATGGTACTACAAAGACAGGTCATGATAATCAACCAGCTAAGCCTCATATTTGAGGCGTTAACATATCTTAAAATCCTCCACATCGTGATCATCGTGATCAAGCAAGTCAATGAACTCTTTTAATTTTGAGATGTTGATTGAAAACTTGGTTGATTCTATAGTATATACAGTATATAGTTGATATGTAAAAAGAAACTGTTCTACGGAAAGTTGATCCCTAAGCAGCTGATCCAACAAGATCCCTCGGCCAAGGCCGCAAGCACAGAGCAGGTCCAAAAGTTTGGCTTCCCAGGATGTGTCAGGTAATCCAGCAGGCCATGTTGAGTATCTGAATGTCATATGTTGTATTCAAAAAGCAAGAATGATAGTTGTTAAGGCTAGTTATATGATGTTATATCTGAATATACAAGAATTATATAAAGTTTCTTTTATTTGTTTAAAGAGAGAATGAACAAACATGGGTTTTGACTTAAGGTTCTAAGATGGTTGAAGCATTTAAGTCACAAGCATGGATATTTTGTCACCCAAGACGGGGGATTCGAGCAACAAACCCATGGTTCTTGAGCAACAATCATGGGAAGGTAAGCAGCAAACATGAAGAACATGTGGATTTAGCTAGCAGCTAGGAAGTTGTTGTGGTCTCTTCTCTGGGTCGTCCGGGTCATCCGGGTCTCGAGTTTTTCGGTCCTTTCTGCCGGTTACTGATGGATTCGTATGGATTTGGGAGGTCCCTTCATCTGTGATATATATATATATATACACATAATTATATATATATATTTAATTATATATATATAATTTGATGTATATATATATACACATTGAACCAGTCCCAAGAGTGGTCAAAAGTTTCACATCTCCCCAAACCCCAATAGGCACATCCAGTCAATGTTGATGAATCCGCTACATACTTCGTTCTCTCTCAATCCTGGGTTGGTTTGTTCCTGAAGTACTATGCTATGACTGGTTCTTATTGTACTTTGATGTTTTGTGATGTAATTTGTATCTTCAGAGTTTGTGGACTTTGAAGACCCACAGACATTACAATAAAGTCAAGTATGATGTCCAGTAATTTTTGGAAGATTGACCCACATTTACCGACCATTTTAATCTGAGTTTTAAGTCAAAAGCATGTTCAGCGCATCGGCTGCCCAACGAGGCTGCTGTTGGATGATGGGGACTGGTGCCTTCTGGGCCGTTTTAAACGGGAGCGGGCAGCGACTGGTTCATGTTTGCCTGGTCACCTCAGAGACCGTCTGAAAACTTGGAAAATAAAGAGGTCGCGGTGCGGCTTGAAATTCAAAGTGGTGTGGTCATGGCAGTAACAATGAAACATCTTGCGTATAGTACATATGCAGTATGGATAATTGATGTTATACAATGTTAGCTATGTATTTACATACTATATATCAATGGTAATACATGACAACACACTGTATACTTAGACATATATATATATATAGTTTTCCTTGGTGTTGCCTTTTTCATCTCATTCTGGGACAGGTTCGAGTGGTTGGGTGGTTGGTTGGCCTTGCCAATTCTTGCCATGCTGGTCAGATCCCGAGTTGTGGCTAGGGATATCTGAGGCGCCCCTAGGTTGAAGCTGGCTGGTAGGTGATTACAGAATATATATATATATATGATGCGATGTGATGTGTTGTGATATAATATGACATGTATAATACGAGATATTAGTTTTCATATATGATAGTTGATAGATGGTAGATGATATCATATATATATACATATATACATTGATATATGATGATATATGATGATATGTGATTATATATGATGATATATGATGATATATGATGATATATGTATATATCAATATAATGATATATGGTATCATATGATATTATGCGATATTAAATGATACCAGATGATATTATAAGTGACAAACATTATATGCCATTTATGGTCTTTGCAAACCAAAAAAGGTGTAACCCACAGGACTTGGGTTGTACTACCAGGCACTTCTTGTGATTATTTTTGTCACGATCTACAAAAGTGATTTAACATATGGAAAATCACCATTTATTAATATGTGAATCATACTATAAATGGACAATTTTCCATAGCTATTTAAATTTACAGTACCCGAGGATAAAAGCAAATATAATTCTTGGGAATGCTTTCTCTACTGGCAGCTGGAAAACTGGTATAGCAGACACTACAGACACCAGCTGGTGCTTTTGAGTTGTCCTTGACGTATTCTCCGGGTTTGATTTGCAATGATCCGAAGAATATGCACTTTTTGACGGAGCTGCAAGCAGAAACTCAGTTTGCACACCATGTGGTGATGATCCATGATGATCCCACATTTTGTAAACCGGAAAGATATCTCTACCAATGGCTCCGCATCAAAAAGAGCCCTGAATCTGGTGCCATTCCTTCATGTCCCAGGCTTTCGCGGTTTACCTCAGTTTATTCACCAACAAGTTCGAGACTCAGGGTATGGTGGTGTGTGTGTGTGTACGGGATTCGTTTTCCACGACAATCCGAAAACCCCAGCGATTTTGGTCAATCTTTGAGTTTTAGACCATCCATCTCTAGGGGTACAGAAATGCGACGAAGATCTCATGTTTCCTCCCGAGGTCATCCTTCTGAACAGGAGAGTCAGAAGTGAAACGACATGAAACGACCATCTTTTGGTTGTAGGTTGTGGATGGTTGTCGGTCCTTGACTTGGTAAACCACTTGCATTGATTGGTTCATATCGGTTCATTCATGCATCTTCAACATCTTCATGCGCCATTGTCTGAAATTCCTTTGGAGGAATCTCAATATCTCAGGTGGCGCCGTGTGCGCCAGTCACCCTGCTGTCGTTCGAGCACCCAGAGCCAGGGTTATCCAGATGAAGCAACCCGAGCCATGGATGCTGAGTTTTGGGATGTAAACATCCATGGTCCCTTAGGATATGTATAGAATAGAATAATGTACGAAATTGTACGAATATATGGGTGTATATATATATATATTATCTTACCCTCTGGTTAATTCACATAGACCCTGAAAATAAGTCATTTTTAATGGACACTAATCTTCCAACCCCTATTTGCTAGGGCCAAATCGCATAGCCCATGCTAGGGGATGGACTTCCATTTATCAACAGGGATTGTAATTGACGATTACAAAGTCCTTCATAGCTAGGCCGCTAGGCTACATCAAAAGAACGGATGTAGAATCGACTCTGAAACCACTACATTGAGGGTTCAAGAGTCCCACGAACCAGCACTTGTATGGGTGCATCAGCGGGTCTTTGGATTGTGTTTATCAATACATATTCACAATATTTTAAGATACACACACACACATATGTCATATTCTATCATATAGACATAAATATACTGTGAAAATAATATATAGACATAAATATACTGTGAAAGTCACATATGCATGTATAAATAATATACGTACATATAGCGGCACGTCTGATGTGTATATGTATATATATATATACATAAGTGAGTTTCAATAGGTACTGTAAAGACCACATAGACCACATATTTGCATTTCCTGACAGATCTGACAGCTAGACACATTGAGAAAATCAAAATCGCTAAGGCTGCAAAAAGACGACTCCGCCCAGCTTGGGTGGTTCAGTGTCAGCTGCCTTGACAACAGGCCAAATCATCCCAAAGATGGGGAAGATGCGTGGTTTGAGAAGTTCAGTATAGGAAGTACCCTCAGTAACTCAGTAAACTACCATAGCTATGCAACAAAACCTGTTTAGTTCCATGATTTACCTGTTAAGCATGGTGATTTTCCGTAGCCATGTTAGTTTACCAGGGGGCAATGAATTTCGAGTTTGTAAGTTCCTTCGACCCATGGCCAGTAAGGGAAAGTGCTGTTGGTCCACTCTTGTCCCAGGGTTGATATGCTTGGCCAACCAATACCAATGAATGGATGCTATGTATGAAATGAACCAATAGACTCAAGAAGATCTATAACTTGATTTATATTAAAATGCTTCAATACATATACATGAAGAAGCTATGCACATTTCGCATTCCTTCCCAGCTATTGCAGATGTTTCATCCCCTTCATTTTTCGTCAATCCAATCTTCCGCGACAGTTCTGGCCTTCGTTGTGAGTGCATTGGCCGCAACCCAGCTCGCGCCTCAGTTACGGGCAGTTGGAGCTGATTTTCCATTGCCACGTTTGATTGCTGGAAAGCAACAGGGAATAAGGATGGACCAGTGTATTGAATGGGGTACCCATGGCACTGGTACATACTGGTACCCTATTTTGAGACCAAGGCATGTTCTAAATCATTGGACCTCCATGGTTCTGTTAACCATTTGACCCGCTCCAACAGGGCCATCTACCTCGTTGCCGCCGCGAAGGCTGGGGGCACTGGGGGATGCCATCAACACTTGAGGGTTGAACCAGCCAAATTGGAGATTTGCACAGGCAAAATGCGGATTCAAGACTAACAAAACTGAGGTTTTAGCCAGACAATACAGGAATTGAATCGATAAGAATCGCGATTGCTCCAGCGAACATGCAGAATCGTTCATCAAACATTAAGATTTAACCAACGAATTGCCAGACTTGAACCACCAAAATGTGAGATTTGAACAACAAAATGGGGGTAACAGGGGATCTGACCAAACAGCAAACAGCAGTAGCATTTTGCCAGTCCTTTAGGGTCTATCCTCCCTTCTCGTCCGGGTGTCGGTGTCAAACAATGCAGGTTTGTCCTAGAATGGGGTATCTCCACTATAGGGGAAGTATGGACAAATTTCACAATTTACCAACAAGATTTGGTGTAATTAGCCTATTTTGACACGAACCCAAGTTCCAACTTGAAAATGCAGCTGAAAATGAACTTCATTTCATTGCCACGACCTGAGCACAGTACGAAAGTCAAAATTTCAGTCATCTCCATGTTCCATTCCAAGAATTGGACGATGATCTCACTTGATTCGCGTTTTGGTAATGTCAGACCTGACAAGGAGCAACAAAAGCATCTTCAGGTTATGTGATCTACAGCCAAAATTTAGCGCAGTGGAAAGTAGTATTCGAGACATCTTTTTTTTTTGGAAATCGAGCTGCGGCTTGGAAAACGATAATACACTCTTCAAAAATTGATGACTTGGAACTATATATATATACTAAATATTGACCATGGCCCATACAACAGTTTATAAGTCAGTACAGATGGGGATTTCCCATTGCCATTTTTGAGATTATCTGCTGGGAAATCCCACCAAGACTGGAAAAAAAGGATGATATAGGATGATATAGGTATATTCTAAGATATATTAATATATAGATAATATATATTATATATTACATATGTATATATATAGAAATGTGATATATGCCGCCCTCACATGGGTATAAAACATTCGGTGTGTCTCGAAATGTTGATACCCAAAATCTTAAACAAAAGGGGCACTCCCCCTCTCATGTAACATAGCCATGGAACATGCATCAAAAAATGGCCATGTAAGAAATAGCTAAATGGCTCCATCATCCTCCAGTGGGATTTTGCCATGACACCGAAGGGTGGATTTTGCCTCATCGGATGGTCCCAAAATGTCCCTTAAATATCTGGTGAATCTGGTGTCATCCGCGACTTTTTACCATGGGTTTCTAGGGTGTGTTTGATATGAATGAACGGTGGATTGGATTAAATTCCCCATGGAAATTCCCATTGGAAATTCCCAATACATTCCCATTATTTTTCACCATCAGATCCCTTGAATTCCCCTTACATTCCCGTTTTGTGAAATCATTAAATCCAATTTAATTCATTAAGTCCCATCAAATCCCATTAGATTTTATGAAATTCCATGAAATCCCATTAAATTTCATGAAATTCCATCAAATCCCATTAAACTCAATTAACTTCCCCATTATATAAACTCGATTAGTCCACTATCAATTCCATTGGAGGGAATTGAGTTAAATCCATTGGTCCACTATTAATCCACTATTAATCCACTATTAATCCACTATTAATCCACTATTAAATCCCATTAGTATCCATTAGTGCACTATTAAATCCCATTGAACAGATAATGATGATAATGGTATTACCCTTAAATCATGATGAAGGTACTATTAATCATTAATCCACTATTAAATCCCACTATTATTAATCCAACAGATCCCTCCATTCAGCCACACCGAACATCGGCCGCGCGGTGCAGTACCTGGGAGAAGTGCTGTGCAGCACCGATCGTATCTTGCTGGGTGGGGGGCCTAGGGGCTACTTGGGGAAATCCATTGGAGTATCATTTCATCCACTAATCATATATATATATAATATTATATATAATTATCAACATATATATATATATCATATTATATATATATGGTTTATATTTATCTATTTATTTGAGTGGATTTCCAAGACCATTATATATATATATATAGATGTCCCATGAGTTGTGATTTTCCCCATGGGAAATATTTCTGGAAATCCACGAAATACATCGAATTACTTGGGCTATTTATGAAGGGACAATGGATTAACAATTGTAAACATATACCCAAGGAGATCTGCATGAATTCTGAATACATTGAACGACTTGACCTTTCTACTTGATCAGCCTTTGTTTTTAACTGGGTCATATTGTGGAAAGCCTTTGGCGCTAACTCCTTGTTGGTTTGGGTCTCCTTCCGGCATGGAAAACCTTGCAGTTTCATGTTTTTTTTTGGATGTTTTGTCCCGCAAATGCCTCCTTTATCTTCGGATGGCTTGAAAGTAGACGAACAATCGTGACTCATTCGAGGATTGTCATGTCTTTATTGTCCAACCATATAAGCTCTTGACGGGATCAAAATTCATCCGTTACCCGAGATAACCCCCGAACCTCTGCAATAGAATGTGGGGGGGTCCCATTCTCTTTGAGTGAAGGGGGCCAGGGTTGTTAAGAATCTGACGCTTGTTGTTGACAGATTGGTGGCCAGTGGTGGCCAGATGATGTTGGGAGGGTGGATTCTGCTCCTTCTGCCCCTTTAGCCATGGCTCTTAGAGGTTTCATGAACATCTTGCAAGCGTGAGAGCAAGCCAATGTCCAACATCAAGCGAAGAAAAAACCACGTGCAGATGCTGCAGTAACAAGAAAGCGAGACCAGATGCCAGGTGCTCTTTAAATAATATTTGATATAGTTGAGAGACCACAAACATTTCAGCAGGTCAAATCAGCTCACAAGGGTGCTGTCATGTCCACGCTGTGAGGGAAGTCACCGCATCATTTTCGCGTTTTCGCGATGGTGGAAGTACAGGCAGGGCGGCAGGGCGGCAGGGCGGGCCATGTTTGACATGTCGAGCTGTGAGATGATGAAACGCTGGCTTGCTATTTATTGGCTTAGCTTCAAGGTGAACTATAAATAAATGCGAAAGGTGGTTTCAAACATAATTTTATGTTCCATCCTCTGATGATATTCAAGTCGACTTTATTTTTTTTGTCAGAGGGGTTGAAACCAACAACCACATTGAATAATCCCATCCGCCCATTTTTTGAAACACCTCCATTGTATGGTCCCAAGTATATGTGTAAAGCCCCTACTTCTTATCATGGTCTTCAATGCAGCTTTGATATCTTTGCACCCGAGGACTTCAGCATTCCAGACCTGGTGACGGTGGAGTTCCGCTGGGGAACAGAAACATTTTTTCGAACGGAGGCGGTGGAGATGGTGCTTGCGAGTGTTGGAGTTCGGGGATTTACCCCCTGCCCCCACAAGACCGGTTTGAAATTGCGAAAAAGCATTGTATCAGCAAAATTTGGAGTATCGTATTTTCAGAAGAACCCAAACAAGGGTCTGTTTGTACTTGACAATTTAGTGGAAACGTTTAAATCCGGTGGTTTATCATTGTTTCCCTTATAAAGAAGATCATTTTGGTGCTAATTTCCAGACAGATCCAAAATGGTTTTGTTTCAATATGTGGGATGCCTTGGGATACTCTCATTTCTATGGTGATTCTTGATAGCGAAAATCAATGAAAATCAGGGGTAAGCCATAAAACTTGGGGGTTCCACTGGGTTCCACTGGGTTCCACATAAAACTTGATGGGATGACAAGCGGCGACGATTGTAACACGTGGCCTTTGGCCTACAGAGGGGTTGTGTAAAAGCTGGTTGGTCGAAAAGTTGGTTTGCGTAGAAGCTGGTGCATGTAAAAGCTCGTTTGTGTGGAAAAGCGAGTTTGTGTAAAAGCGGGTTTGTGTAAAAGCGGGTTTGTGTAAAAGCTGCTTGGTGTAAAAAAGTGTTAGAAAGTACTTCTGCCTGGAACGGGCAGGAAACCGTTCTCAAGGGCGAGAACGGGCCGGCCGTAAAACGTGGAGAAAAGTGGGAAACATGCCGCATCCCAGGGGCCAGCCGGGAGAAGAAGATGAACCTGATGATGATGATGATGATGATGATGATGATGATGCTGCTGCTGGTGGTGGTGGTGGTGGTAGTGACGACGATGACCACCGAGACATGAGGATGTAAATAAGGTCACTGCCATGTAGGGTAGCTTGAGAAAAGAGACGAGACGACACGAGACTATGCTAGACTATACTAGACTATAGCGAAGGGGGTAGGGCAGAGAAAACAAAAATCCGTCGAAGGAGCAATGGTAGGTGAAACATGGTGAAACTAAAGCTATCAAAAGATGTATCACAAGAACATCCACAAAACACGCCGGCCGGTGGATTCTTGGGATGGGCGTCTATCATCAAAAGTAGTGGTCGTGGACCGGAGGGTGATATCCTCTGAAGAGGAATGTTTACCTTACCTTGATCTCCCGAAACTAGCCCAGGCTAGCCTACACTACACCCTTAGCAAACTCAATCCCATTTTGTCTCAAACAGAAATTCCCAACGGTCCCAACTTGATGCTATTTTAAAATATGTTAAATATTTAAGCAATGAAAAGACCATATTGAACCCTTTGGGGATATCCCATATTTTGGAACATGCCCACATGGTGAAAATGAAACAACTCAAAAACACGGGGAGTTTGCGTTCGCAAGATTCCGCAGGACAGGACGCATGGTCGCTACATCTACCGTAGTCGAGGAACACTGGATGGCAAGGGAGGCTTGAGACTACAATACCAGAAGCTTGGCTTTGTTCCACCGAGATCCACAGGGCACAATCTAGCAAAATGAGTCATTGAGTCTGAACAATTATCAACGCGTCTATTTTTCTACAGGGATCAGCATCCACAACTACCAGCTACCTTGATGTGCTGGGGGGTACCACAAGTGAACTGACCCCCAGAAGGGCTTTGTCGCTAGAGAGGGTGTTGGGACGCTAAAGAATCCAGTTTGTTGCACCAACAACAAAGAACTACCCTCCAGAATCAAACATGGCAGTGTCCAATTCCCATTTATATTATGTACAATATATATATACACACTATATATATATGATATATTTTTATATCATCAGATTATTATGTTCATGTATGTTCCCTTCTTTAATCCTTTAAAACTGCCATATTTATTGAGGATTTCCTGCTGCTACATTTGACCGGAGGAATGCTGCAGTAATTTTTCGTTGACCTCCCAGAATTGGGGTAGCTATGGCTACTATGACCAGCTATGCAATCTCCATCAATTTAGATGAATGGTTATGTATTGGTTATGTAGCATGTAGATTGATGATACCAGTAAGAAACAACCTTAAAAACACAAAAAAACAACATTTAATGGTCAGGACAGGTCATAACAACATTAATCCCCTATTAAACACTATTTAACACCATTAATCCCCATTAAGAAAGTGCCATGAAGTCCCAAGGATGTCCAAGAGTGAGATTGACGAGCGGGACGATAGTGGATGGGAGATTTGTGGCTCGCAAGGCTCCCCGGGTACCATGGATTCATTTGATAGAGGAAACTATGGAAAACACATAGGAATACCCTCTGGTAAACTAACATAACTATTGAACATCACCATTTTTAATGGGAAAATCCACTATAAATGGCCATTTTCAATAGCTATGTTAAATTACCAGAGGGTATATGTTAGGACAAGCACTAGTGACTCATGATTAGTCTTTTTGGCCTTTTGTGTGTGATTCCCAGAACAATGGATAGCTCTGCATATTCTATGGATATCTTCACAGAGAAAGAGGCATCGCGGCAGGCCACAAATGTGGGATTTTCCATCGCCCCACCTGATTACAGGAGGGTTATTTTTGCAAAGGAAAATTCCATTGTTCATGGGAAAAGCATCTATCAGTCTACTACTGGTGCGGGATTGCTCATTGCTAAGCTAAGATTATTTGAATCGGATTTACAGTGTTCAGGTTGCATCTTGAAAAGGTCTGTTGGTCAGTGATCCCCATGTTCTGTTTTTTTTTGACGTGGTTTCCCAACTTTAGATCAACAGTAGGGGACGTTGTTGAACTGGTCAGCGACGACCAAATTCCTGGATTTTGTCATTTCGTGCTGGCATCGGCCTCATGTAGATGCCTGAAATCTAACCAGTACTCAGTACTCCCCTCTTTCCTGCCCTTTTTTTGTGGAGGACTTCGCAAATGGATATGGGTCAAAATATGTCACAATCAACACGCATTTCGCCAAACATTGGTGGAGCCCCAAATCAACCCGCCCCACATTTGGCCAACTTTCAGGTCCCGCCCCTGGCGCCCCTGGCAAGGCAAGTGCCTCTACCGCCTGCAGACCGACGCTGCGAGCCCCGGCGACTTCTTGGGCTCGCAGACCTGGGCCCGAGGCGATCGCTCCTCCATCACATTGGAAGCTGGGCTTTAAAAAGCTGGGAACTGCGGCTGGAGCCACATAATTAAATGTCAATGGAATGTAAATGGGAGTTTAGATATAACATATAGAGATACAAGTCATTTAAGATGATCGTTTTGGCCATGTTTTAATGAAGGGAGCGGGGGTACAATTTCGGATCAACTAGTTCAATTGAGCCACGTCCAAAACCCCCTTATTCGAGGTGGGTCAAGCCACAGGACTATGATTAAGCCGCTATGACTAAGCTATTACTGGAATCTCCTTGGTTGGTGGATGTGTTCTTTTTGGGTATTTCTTAGCTGGGTGAAAAAAGGGATAACATGGTGAAAATAGAATGGTCGTGGCCGACTGTTTGCAGAACTCGGGTGAAGAATCGAAATATGAAGAAAGATCACTAAGATATACTAAGATCATATTATCATATCAATATCATATCAATATCATTATTATCAGCTATTATCATCCAATGAACTGGCGCGCCCCTCGCATTTCTGAGGTGGTGATGCAAAAAGCCCGCGCCGACATTGAACCGGGAGGCCGGTGAGTCAAGCCAGGATTCATACCCCGACTGCACTAATAGGGAAAGATGGGAAAGGTCTCACTCTAGCATATAGCATCATATAATATCATATATCATATTGTAACTTTGTGCTGGTAGCCCAAGATAATTCAACAGTGTCAGTGTGTGTGTGTGTTATAGTTATAATTCCAAGTGACGAGTAGTTGATTGGGACGGTTGGTTGACCAACAAATCCACGCTGCATCCTGCGTTGTCCAGTGCCAGGATGGATCGAGGGTGGCCTATTGGCTTTTGATCGAAGGTGGTGAAAAAGAATGGCTCTCTCCACGCTGCCGCGCTGCCGATGTGGAAGGGTAAAAAGAACGCAGTTTCTGATATCTCAGGAATTTGAGATATAGACACTCAAAGACTCCAATCAGTTCCGGAACGTACTCTGAAAACATGATCCTGGAATCACTCTCATTCCAAGTTGCCGCAGGATTTATGAACACTTATCATGATCCTGTGCCACATCAGGGTCTCAAAGACTCCGACCAGATCAGGAACTATCATTCATGGATTTGATTTTAAAAAGTTGTACCAGTTGGTGCAAATTCCCTGTCCACTCTGTCCCTTGGAAAGTCGAGTCAAAGGTCTATGGCTCATTGTGGCTCCAATGTTTTGACACCGTGGACCCACAACAAAAAGATAAAACTCATCATAAGGAACAAAAACACTTCAGGATGTTAACCCTCAACAATTCAGGATGTTAACCCTAATTTGTTAACCCAAGAAAAGGAACAAATGAGGGTTGACATCCTGAATTTCACCAGCCGTTTGTGGTCCCTGAACTTAGCCCACTTTGGGTGGCCTCAACTTCTCCCATCCCCCGTCTGTGCCACTGCCCAGGTTTAGTGGAAGGAAATGAAGAGGTACCCACCACTGCAGAGACTGGAGAGACCGTGGGAACCCCTATCCAGCAGAATTCTCATAGAAACAACATATTTAAGAAAAACAGAGGAAAAAAAGAGGCTACAGAATCCGGAAGCTTTCAAACATTTCCATCACATTTCCATCACATTTCCTGCAATTTGCATGGATTTGCATGGATCATTTTGAGAACCGGAAACTTTCAGATTTTGGATCCCCAAATCTCGGATAATCAAACGCTGCCTCGCGTGACTCCCCTGGAACATCCACCATGATTCAGTTTTTTTTTTTGTCATGTTTTTCCCTCCAGAGAATTTGGGGGTTTCCAATTTGTATGCGATTTTTCCTTGGCGGCTTTGGATCTTGACACTGTTGAAGTGATTGATGCTTGTGTGCTGGCTTTCAGCGGTGTTTTCGGCCGCATGGTGGGGGACTGAGACATGCACTTGGGCGAGATGACCATGCTTACTCAATCTGAGAAGAACTACCTCAGACTCAGAAATATTGATGAACAAGACAAGACACGTGGCAGTACTTTTCCAATGATTGTGCTTTTCAATGAATTCAGTCAGAGGTCCGCATTTCCAAGGGTTTGCTGAAGCCAACGTCAATGAAAGACGTTAACAATGTCATTGAACAAATGTATCTGAACGATGCAAGATATCATTTGGATGCAATGCATGCGTCTGCACACTGTGGATATACGAATCCGATCGAGTCCTCATCAATACTCCTGGCTTTCAATCAGATCCAAAAATAAACAAAAATGATCAAACATGAGTATTCAATCATGGCTCTGATTTCCTATCTATCTATATAATCCATTCTAATCATTCTAATCCTATCACGGCTTTCATCGGCTTTCAATCATCCTTTCAATCGATTTCAAAGCTTAAATCGATCTCCGTGGGCGGGATGGCAGCGTCATATGCCGATGCCGATGGCCGTTGCGTGGCCTCCCCAGCAAGAGCCGAGCAGCCACGGCTGCAGATCTTGAAACAGGCCCTGGCGCAAGGGGGAGCCAAGTGCCTTGCCAGAAACGGCCCAGATGGCTTTGTGATGCGTCGAAGGGAAGGTTTTCATCGGGGGGATATATAGTTATATATAATACAATTATATACATATCACATTTATATATATATATTAATATGTACATATATAATATGATTATATAATATAGAACTTAGATATTGATCAGGAACTTAACCAGCATCTATAGGCTTTCTAATCAATCCAAGAATCAACAAAATAAAGGCGACAATCAAATTTTTATCAACCAAACATGAGGATGTTTATACATTTCAGTCGGACGGGTCAGTTCTGAAAACACCATGAACATTCAATGCCCCCAAATCAGCAAAGTTTGACAATTCTTGCCTGTGAGCCCATGAAAGTCCCATTGCCTACATCCATGTTCATTAGGCTGCCAAAGTTTGACCATACAAAAAATAGTGTCCGAGAATGGCCGTTTCAACCTTTGACATTGTGTTGAACTGACAATAGAAGAAGCAGACAGACATACAAGCGATACATTGCGCCACATTGCAAGACAAAGTATTATATTGCATTTACTCGTATGTTCAGACTGACGCTTACATTCACATGTGCATCATTGTACATTACATATATATATATACATATATATAATTATATATAGTTATATATATAATTATATATAGTTATATATATAATTATATATAGTTATATATATATAAGTATATATAGTTATATATAATTATATATACATAATATATATTAATATATATATAGCCATATAATATAAGTTTCTACATTGCAATTAATAAAGCTCCACTTCCATCACAGACACATACAGACACCTACATGACATCATTTCAGTGCATCACTTTACATAACCTTCGAATGTGTTATATTTCTTACCGTTCGATTTGACATATTACATTTGATTGCACTACCCATTATATTGGATACGTTGCAATAATTAGACAATTGAATAAACGGTATGTGCACAAGCATTTAGACATGAACAACCTGGAACACGTTACGGACCTTGACAGAGTGTCGAGCCGCAGCATCTCCCACCAAACACTTTCATACTCCCGTTGTCATGCCGTTGCTGGGTTCCAATGTATGTACTGTATCCAGTTGCAAGGGCTTTGCTATTTCATGCAGGGATTAATATACACACCACGCATCACCACGCACCCAGATCAGAAGGGTGAAATCGGTAGTGTTCATAATGGTTGATCCCGTAGATTTAAAGTGTTTATCCTCAGAAATGGCAAACCTTTCCATTTTTTAGTTCCAAATGTTCATCCCAAAAAATTACCAATGTCCATCACACCTGTGAATCCAAACAAGATGAGAATATACATATATATATATAAGTTAGTATATATATATATATACGCACATTATAAATCCCATCATCCCATATATACCCACGATATCCCTTCTAATATCCCCAATAAATTTCTGGTGATTACCCCTATCATTTTCCATATCGCCATGGCATCCCCGGGTCGCCATGGCATCCCAGGTGCATCCCAGGCCTACGGCGCTGGGCCAAAGAGAAGCGGCAGTATCGTGGAGAGGTCTTCAGCCTCGAGGATGCGGGACGGCGAGATGCCGCGCTTCGCAAGCGAAATGAAGAGGCTACCCTCTGGTAAACTAACATAGCTATGGAAAATCACCATTTTTAATGGGAAAATCCACTATTCATGGCCATTTTCAATAGCTATGTTAAATTACCAGAGGGTAATCTATGGTCAATATTACTCCTTGTTTAATAATGAAGAATAGTGACATATAGTCTATATAAGGTTAATGGTGACTATTAGTTAAATCTGTCCATGATGAATCTATAGTTAATATGGTTAATCTACGGAATCTACGGTTAGTATCCCAATATCATAGCTTTATCTCTAGCTGGTGATATTCACCTGTTTTTGGATGAATACGGGGAAGATGTCAGAATCTGTGGTCCATGGTCGATGCGGGTCAGAAGAGTTAATGGTTGCTAATGGTTGAGAGAGTGGGTGCATAACAATTGTGGATAACAACGATTTTAGTGACATGTTTAAGATACGGAAAGATGAATTCCAATATTTGGGTGATAATGGGGTAACATGTAACTATTGAATGGGATGTATATTCAAAATGGGCAAGAATGTGGTAAACCGAATGGCATAAACCATCCAAAATCTTAATAGAACTAATGACAGGTTTCCTATTGAGTTTACGACATCATATAGTCGGGATGAAAAATTCTTTGGGCATGATCCATACACGTAGTGGATATTTTAGCAACCAACAATCCTTGACAATCCTTGCGGCTCAAATGTTGTCCTTTCTCTTCTTGGAATTGTTGTTTTCTTGCTATTCAACAGGATTTAACCACCAAAAATTAGTGTATATAACAATATGCAACCAATTCACCCTGGATATGGCAAAGGTAAATTCAGTATAATGGCGGTTTTAAAGGGGAAAATATCTAGAAATGGATGGATTTGTTTTGGCTGGGTAAAGATGTGAATTTGTCTAATGGAGGATATACGATATCCCAACCAATGGCATGTTTCATGGGGACGACAGTGATGATGGGCCCATGGGCTTTTTGGGCACTGGAACTGGAGGGGCCTAAGTAGCTGTTCTTCGACCGGGAATTTGCCTAGAATTGTTGATGATAGGTATACCCTCTGGTTATGTCAAAATAGCTATGGAAAATCACCATGTTTAATGGGAAAATCCACTATTTCTATGGTGATTTTCAATAGCTATTTTGACATAACCAGAGGGTATAACTTGCTGATCATATCACCATGAATCTTCATGGTGGAAATCATTGACTCGCGTCGGTGAACATTCCACACAGCTTTGCTGGTATGCCAATCATATCCCGATTTTTGTTGGTGTTGTTGTTTGTGACTGTTTCACCCACTCTCATCTCATCTATTCATTTTATGCGCATGTAATTGCAATACGAGTAACCAACAAAATTCACCGAAAACTAAAGTAGTAGGGAGTGGACTTGGGATGTTCAATTTTGTGCTAAAACTTTCACAACTGATAGAGGACCATCCACTTACCGATACCCTATATTTACACATAACATGGAAGTGCAAACCTTCACAACCAATAGTGGACCACCCACTTCGGCCATTTCCATTGCGGGTAGTAAATATATGTACAAATATACATTATTGTTCATCAGTCAATCAATTTATCTATTAACTAACCTATCTATATGCACACGCAATAATGATCGTTTGTTGCTATTCTTGTTGTTTTCATCAGTAATTAGTACTTTTGCAATGATCATGTATTGTCCTATCCTATGATACAGTAAACCTACGAATAGATCTACTAGTAACATCTAGTAAAGAGAATAACCATATATTGACAATGTTCCTACCCGATTAGACTATTAGATATTCTATGATATTCTAAGTGGCAGATTATTAGATCTGACACCAGGAGGTGGAGGAGGCGGTGGCCGCCTGGCAGGCGCCATCCGTCCATTGGGTCCATTGGGTCCATTGGGATGAAAACCATGGCAGATTCGAAGATGATTTACCTATGGATTTATAGATGATTTATAGATTATGTAATGTACCAAATTACCTGTCAAAATTGTGTTGATTTGTCCATAGTTATGTTAGATTTACTCGAGGGTACATGATGGAGTGATGATTGACTGGTGAGTTGATTTCATTATATTTTAAGTATTTGATCATGATATATTTTGTTATCTAGCATATGTGATCATTTAATGAATGTTGATTTTTGATTTGTTTGATGATCTTATAGGCGAGATTTTATGTCAGTTGCCTCCTCCTCCTTCTCCTCCTTCTCCTCCTCCTCCTTCTCCTCCTCCTCCGCCTCCTCCTGCCTCGTCCTCCTCTCCTCCTCCTCGTCCTCCTCGTCGTCCTCGTCGTCCTCGTCGTCCTTGCTCAACTGCGACCCGCGATCCACAGTGTTCTCTGCCGGACCTCAACCACGACCACCCACGCCCAGTGTTCCCTGCCGGACCTCAACCACGACCATCCACGCCCAATGTTCCCTGCCGGACCTCAACCACGACCATCCTCGCCCAGTGTTCCCTGCCGGACCTCAACCACGACCATCCACGCACAATGTTCCCTGCCGGACCTCAACCGCGAGTATCCACGCCAAGTGTTCCCTGCCGGACCTCATGTAGGAAGATATGGGACAAAGAATGTGCAGAAGAAAGTTAGAAAGAATGTCAGAAAGAATGTCAGAAAGAATGTCAGAAGATATGCCAGAAGATATGCCAGATAGAATGCCAGATAATATGCCAGAAGATATGCGAGATAGAATGCCAGATAGAATGCCAGAAGATATGCCAGAAGATATGCCAGAAAATATGCCAGAAGATATGCCAGATAGATATGTCAGAAGATATGCCAGAAGATATGCCAGAAGATATGCCAGAAGATATGTCAGAATATATGCCAGAAGATATGTCAGATAGAATGCCAGAAGATATGCCAGATAGAATGCCAGAAGATATGCCAGATAGAATGCCAGAAGATAGGCCAGAAGATATGCCAGAACATATGCCAGAAGATATGTCAGAATATATGCCAGAAGATATGCCAGATAGAATGCCAGAAGATTTGCCAGATAGAATGCCAGAAGATATGACAGAAGATATGCCAGATAGAATGCCAAATAGAATGTCAGAAGATATGTCAGATAGAATGCCAGAAGATTTGCCAGTAAGAAAATGTATAAATGTCATGGTGGGGATCACACGAAGTAAAGTAATTTCTTTTTTTGATGATTTTGATGTTGACTTAACATTTGCTTGATAGTATTTTGACATATTATTTGTTTGATGATTTGAACCGGGTAAATCCATCGTATAGTTACGTTGAATGCCTGGGATGTAGCTTCCTGGGATGTAAGCGAAGTGTAAGCCCAAAGGTAAGCAAATCTTTGTGACGTGGCACAGCAGATAGGCAGATAGGGTTTTGGGGTGGCTCAATTGCTAATCATTCGGCCATCCCTACTTGGGCATAAGTTGCCCGTGTTGACCGTTATATACTTTATGTATGCATTGGAACCATCCAGGATATTACAAATCACGGGAATGCCCATGATTGTAGTTCAGGCTATTCCTCAAGAATAGGTTAAAATGCCTCCAACCTTCAAAATTGTTCATTTTTGGCACTTAGAGGGTGTCATCACTTTGTGCCATTCCCCCATACCCGCAACCTTAGACGCCTCAGACGCTGGCGACAAGGCCTCCAAGGAAACTGGCGCAACCACTGCTGAAAAGGGCCAGACTGGTCAAACAGATGTGACTCCACCACAGGCGGTGGGGCACTGGTGATTTGGCAACCCCTAAATCAACATGTTGAAATATAATCAAATAAGTTGAACTATGTTGAACTGTATATTGTTTTGGGATTACTCCACTTTACCGTATCTTGTGTTGATTGAAGCTGTAATGATGCCGGATTACCTGTTCTTCAAAACAAGTACCACGAATGCTGCTGTCTTTTCACACGCTGCGGTTTTTGTTTGGAAACAGGCGCGGTTTTGCACGTGTTCTTTTGGGGTTATTGTTCCTCTGTATTAACAAATTGTGATACGAAAAAACCATTCGATTTCATCATACCACCATTTATGTCCCATTGTATCGCCATTGTATAATCGTAAGATCACAATTCTATCGCCATTCTATCGTCATTATATCACCATCATATCACCATTATATCACCATTATATCCTATTATATCATATTATATAAATCATCTTATTTCAACAACGTCAATACTGCATGGCTTAGGTGGCCATTTACCATGTTATTTCAGCGCAACCCACTCCAAGTGCCAGGTAGCAGCCCCAGCAGTGCAAAGTGTCAGCAGAGTTTTGCCTTGCAGAAAGGCGAGGATTTTGCACTTGGAAGACTGTGCAAAAGCATGAACAACGGGCAGATTTGACATCTTTGCTGCTTGATTGTCCTAACCAATCATCGCAATCTATTGTAAAGATATGTTTGTAATTTAGAATGTATATACATATATATATACATACAAACTACAAACTGCTCGTACACATATTTGGTACAAGAACGGAATTCACCAGGCAACCAGGCCTTTATACCAAAACGCTATTATCAATTATTCGCTGATTCCAGCTGGATAGAATTCACCAAAGCAGATGAACTAATACAACGGATCATTTTTTTTACACACAAATATTTTATTTAGTCAATATCAATAAGTGACTCTCTTCCCATATGCTGCACCATTAATTTTACCTACACGATTGGATCATTTCTACTGGAAATGATACCATTAGCTGAAGTATATAGGTGCCTATATATCTATAATATAATATATAATATTATATATAATATTATATATATATTATAATATGATTATATTATATACATATATGTAACAATATGTATAATTATGATAATTATGTATCTATACACATCAATTTCACTGAATGTTGCTGATTAGTTGTTTTATGCATGGAGCATGTGGATTGCCAGGCGCCCACTCCTGCGCCGGCAGAAGCCAAGCCGGCCGCCGTCCCTTGGGGCGGCCTGAGAGTAGCTTGGCAGGTCACTGGAATAGCAACCCCAAGATAGAAAAGTAAAATATGACTAAAATGCTAAAAGAGAATGGCTTTTCTATCGTTTGGATTCTTTGGGGGGATTAAAATGAAGAGTTAGGATTTACTCCTTGGTAATCTAACAGTTTGCAGTGGACAACTACCATTTATGCATATATATATACATAATTATATACAGAATATGCATGTAAATCATCTACCATCACGTTACAGTTTCCGGAGCAAACTGGTAGATTACCAGCGGGTAGTCGCATTCGTCAAATGTCAGGGTTGCTCAAACCTTGTGGGGGGGGTAAATGGGTAGTTTCAGGGTTTTTGTGTTTTTACACAATCTCCCAATGTGATATCTGGGGTGTTGAGGGTTGGAAGCGACCCTGATAGATCTGACCAAAAAATATTTGCATTGGTTGAACCCCTGAGGTTTGCCTGTGGCAAAAATCACCAAAAATTTCATGTTTTGGTGAACTATGAAGTTCAGCTAGATCGACATCGTGATGTTTGCCTGACGCAGGTGACCTTGAGGTCCAAGTCTTGGCCTTGGCCCCTGACGCTGGAGGCAGCCAAAGTTGTTGCCCAATCGATGGGGCCTTGCCGCTGAGCTACGTCGGTGAAATGGAGAATTCAATGGCTGTGTAAGGGTGAAGTATGGGTACAATTGGGTAAATATGGTTCAATATAGTTAAATATGGCGATATAGATAAAAATGTGGTTAAATATGGTTAACTATGGGTAAATATGGGTTTTGCCATTCTATGGTTAGTACGTGGGGATGAAGCACACCTCGTACTTGGTTAATTGGCGATCGTAATGAATTCATGTCCACCCGTAGAAAGATGTAGAAAGGGATACAGAGGAGGTTTGAACCTCGCACGGAACCTGAAAAATGGGTGCCCACGGGCCCAAGGGGTGACGAGACATGGGAGTTCATGACCAGCCCCAATGATATCACTTGGTCAATGGAGACCGTGAAACATCAATCGTGAGCTGAAGGATGTTTCATGATGATTCCCTTTCTTGTGGATGGTGGAAAAGCCAGCGGTTACACGGGACCCATCGTAGGTGCACTATAGTGACCTCACACCGACATCACCACAGCTCCAAAAAGTCGTATATAGTGATTTGCCCAGATGGAATGCGTTGTCGGGGAAGGGATTCACACATGGTATGTTTCAAAAACAAATTAATTTTGACGAGTGTACACCTGTGAGATGTAGATACGGCTATCAGATGCTGTCAGTATCATGTACACTTCAGGCATGTGTAGTGTTACAAGATGGTACAAGATGGTTCGCTGAGCATTTTCAAGAAGTGTTGGTTGCAAAGCCCTTTTTTTGTTGGTTAATCCATGGCATCGTTGTTGGTTGAAGCCGTTGAAGCGCATCTCATTTGAACTACACACGTCCATCAGCCTTGGCCCCAAGGCCATGACAACCTCAAAGTCAGTGCAGATCTTCTGAAAACTCTCTTTGAGGCGCTTGGGTGTGCCATCAATCTCCTCGCTTGATAGGGGATGGAACGTGATGGAACATTGAAAAATCAGAGGCTTACTGGAGTTGGACTTGAAACCGCTACAAACCAGGGTTTCGACTCAAACCTGATGCATTAAGCTGTCCAACTTGGATCAGGCCTTGTCATGTCTTTTCTGCTTCTTCCATAGCCATATTTTGGCCACACCGAAATGTCGTTGTTGTCCTACAGACTGGGATTTTCTACAACGGCGCATGAGAACAGGAAACAATATGACTAAGGGCAACCAGCAGCATTTGATAGATCTGATAGATTGAATCCATGGGCTAAATGCTCAAAACTTGGATGAAAATCGAGCCACATCATCCCATTCCCCATGGGTCAGATCCACATTCATTATTGCTGATCAAATTCATAGTTTTGACGAGTTAATCCATATTTGCTTGGCAAATCAAATCGCAAGTGTTGATCAAATCCACTTGATATCATTGGTCTGAGTTGGTCAATGAACCGGCTTCTTGATCAAATCCACTTTTTTTTGGTGATCTAAGTCTAAGTGCGGTTGGTCACTCCGTATATATTATATATATATATTATATATATATATATTATATATATATAATACATATCCCTTATCCCAGAACAGATCTCCATTGTATCCCATGAAATCCCTGTTGTTGATGATTCATCCTCGCTTATCCGCCATTTTCGATCCTATTAAATCCCCTGAATTTCCATTAAATCTCATTACATTCAATGAAACGCCATGAAAATGAAAACCCATCTATATAAATCTATATAAATATCATTCAATTCCACTAAAAATCCCTACTTTTCAGTGGTTAAATCCATGGTACTCCTAGATGAAAGTCTTCCCAAGGTGCCTGATGGTGCTCTCCATCCTGACCTGGTCCTGGTTGCTGGCAGCAGTGGCCACCGGAGCCGCATTGGGGCGCATAAGGCGCCGGAACCTTGTGGCCCGAAATACCAGAAGTCATTGAAGCTGGGCAAATTATAACGACCTCACTGCGACCTCACTGGAATGATGGTTAGTAGGGGAAACAATAGGGAAATCATCCTCAAATGGCCTTATTTCAGATATTTTCAGATTAGTGAAAGATTATAATTTACCCAGATGAAGTCATCCCATTTATGTTTGCATGTATTTTGAGACAAAGCTAGACTATCTGTACCCATAAACATGGTGGTTTAGCCTATAATGTTAGGACTTTTACATACTTTTACCATTTTTGAGGGTAGTTGGAGGTTCTAGGAACATGTATTGGTTTGCATTTGGAGTTGGTGAAATCATCGCAATTGTGGAAATTCTAAGCTGAAACCGTGTGGATTTTACTAAGAATTTGTGAAATCGGACCATCAACAAGACTAGAAGTGATTTGACAAACCAAAAAGGTGGGTTTAGCCATCGTCAACCAGTCAGAAAGTTGAATTTAACACCATCTCAAAAAACTTCAGTACCCAAATTGGTGTTTAATCACTCAAAAGTGTCGCTACGGCGACCTAACTATGCGGCGTTTAGGAGCAACGACGTGGCTTACACCTTGTTGATGTACACAGAAGGGTAGCAGGTCAGGGTTTTGACCGATACCCCCAAATAATGTCGACATTCTCCAGCATGTTAGGTTTCTACTTGATATATCTTGAATTTATCTTGATATATCTTGATGTTGATGGTTAACCCATGTTAACCCCAAAAATGGCAAGCACTTCTGAAATGATATTATTATGACAGTAAATATTTGTGCCAAGCAATGAAAGCAGCGCTGCGGGAGGCCATCTTGGCCAGTTTCTCGGACTTCTTCCGCTTGAAGCCACATGGCCGATGGAGGGGGTGTGCTCCTGTTGTTACACAATACGTATGTTTGATTTTTTTTGGGCATATCAACCAACTCAAACATCTAACTTACCTCAAAAAATAGGATATACCTTCTGGCAATCTAACAGAGCTATGGAAAACCACCATTTAGATCCATTTAGGCACTGTAAATATCTGTAAATTAGTAAATGATCTATGCTATGTAAAGACGATGCCTTGATGTCCCATGAGGTTGTCTCAATAGTTTATATCAGGGATCCAGCAGACTCGTCAAATCCCCACTTTCTCGGACTGGGCGAGGCGGTCTCAACGAGACATGATGCTGTATGAACTGTCTCTACGGTGTACATCTCTAAGTCTACATGTATATATACACACATTAACTCATGCATACATATAAACACACATATATATACATAATTATATATATATAATTAATTATATTTAATACTTACATATAATTATATATATATAATATATATATATATATATCATTATATATCACCGGAATTGAATTGCAGTTCCACTTCTGATCCGCACGGGCTTTTTGTTGACCACCGCAGCTCCCATGATCTGAGTAACTCCATGGCAGCACGATCCTTTTGGTGATGATGGAACCACCTGAAAAACAAGCACACACACACATACTATATATATATATACATATACGAAAACTAACCTGGAAAATACGTGTGTTTTACCAAGAAAAATTAGGGACGTTGAGTGTATCTCTTGTGAGCAGCCACATGGAAGCCGGCTAGGCATTGTGGAATCGTAGCATATAGATGTATATAGCCATCTACAAGCTGTAGAACTATGGAATATTGTAGCTATATACAAACCAAATATATCATCCAAATATAAGAGTGGGAGAGTGTGCTCCAGACTAGTACTGTAGTATTGCTTGTACTTCAGTCGTTCAGTTCTGATGCCAACAAGCATATTGCAACCTTGAAAATAAATAAGGTACGCTTGCAAGTACCTACCAGCGATAAACCTTGTCTTTTTAATCCCAAGTGGAATCTATATGTTGTCCATTCAACTTCCATTCTGGCAGAGTTGCGGCTTGCCTTTTTCCCATCAAGTTTCTGTCAAATTTCAAAAATTCAGAAAACTTATGCCGACAACAAGCAAAACATAGCAAAACAATGAAGAAAGCCGTGAGCACAGACAGAATCCTTTAAATCAACTGTCCCATTCATCACAGCAGCGCCATGCAGCGCCAGGTTTCATGGCGCCTACCGCGACTCCGCTGAATCGCTGGTGGAAGTCTCCTGGAGCCCGGACGATGCTCGGCAGATTTAAGGACTGGGCAACCGATCAACCTAAGACTTGGCCAAAATATCAGTTTTGTTTCAGGTTTGGCTGATATAAAATTCTATATTTAACCACTGTGCATGGATTTTCTGCAGAATTTAGCAATTTAGCTGGTTAAACTTGATTTGGTTACCAGAAATATCCAGAACAAATCGGTTGTGAATTCATGGTTTGCCCATGGATTTTCCCCAAATTCCCCATGGGATCCTGGTGGAGAGGTGGTACGCGCTGCGCTTCAATTTCTGTACACCGGCAGCTGTGAGTTGGATGTGGCCGTGCTGGGGGATGTCATGGTGCCACGGCCAGGGCCGGGGCGGCAGGGGCTGGTGGTGTTTCATTGGCTTCTTTTTTTTGGGCAACTGGTTCAACTGGGGCATGGGAATTTCGCAAAACTCTGGCCACGTGAGGTTTGTGCATGGTAATGTCTTATAACTGAAAAAACCTTGTGGTGGTTTGATTTTATGAACCCCAACTTCAAGTATTGTCCGATAGCAATTGGCGGCTATGGTGTCTAAATGTATCTAAAATGTCCAATGGCGTCCCTCTATGTTATTGGCTCTTTTCCTGTGTGCTGGCTACACCTGGATTGAGTAATTTGGTGTCTTCATCGTGTCTTCCATGTTTTTCAGCAATCTTAAAATCGAGATGTTCTTTTCTCTGGAAATGCTATATTCAATATCTTCAACCAACGACATCCACCAAAAAAAAGCTGAATATTCAGTTCTTTTCGGAAAACATATCGAGTTCCTTACTCACAAAGAAATCAAAGAAACACACATCCCATCACATCCGATTGTGTCTGGCCATTCGCGTCATCATCTTGTGCAATGTCTGAGGTCATGGCCGATTTTTGGCAGGCCAACGAGCTGGCAGACGCGGCCGCAAAGTCGTGGTACGCTCTTCCCATGGTTCATCAACTGGAGGCCACGGCGCCGTCGGGATTTCAACGATGGGGATAGCTCGTACATATTAAACAACCCTAGTGATTTTCTATTGCAATTGTATGGTCCCAAGTATGTGTACATACTGTCTTGAACCATGGATTCCTTGGGGTGTTTTATATGGGGAAAGGATTAATTAGGACATTGAATGAGATTCACCATCAACGATGGTGTCTGTGAAAATAGGGTCTATTCTCACCAAATTGCCAAATGGCAAATTTAACAGGAAACATGATTCACCAATGGATAGACATTTTCAATCATTTTCAGACAAACCCAAATTTATGATGTACATAAACGTGTTGAAATTCATATTCATACTTAAATGTATGATTTCAATTGAATTGACAATTACACTCATACTTAGTACATTTGTGTTACGGTCAAAATGGTTTTTCAGACCACAGTAGTATTGCAGAAGCACTTTGACCAAGTTTGCGGCGTTGATCTGAAGCCAGAGACCTGTGCCAACGACCTGAGACTGTGAGCGGTTCTTCAATGATTCCTGCTTCCTCATTGGGAAAAGAACGATTGATTTATTCTACCTAAAAATAGTTGGGGAAGTCAAATTAGTATTAAGCTTTACTTGGATGGCCACCCTATTTAGCAAGTGGTTCGTAAGCCAGTGACCCACCTTTTCAGCTGCTGCTCAAGGTGAATCTCCACGATCTTGGCTGTATGAATTTTGGCTGAGTTCCCATTCCCTTTAGTCAATTCCAATCAGATCCACTTGTTTGTTGGTTACATCATCAGTTCTATCGAGATTCTTGTTTCTTGTAGTTCATGTCGGAAATATGGGATACCATTACCATTACCATACATATATATATGTAACCATATATATAATATAAATTATATATATATTCTACATATAATATGTATTACACATCACCTCACTTAAACTATCCATTTAGTGAATTGATCAGGTGCTTTCCAATTTGGACGAGACCTCGACGGTGCCCAAAGCGATGGTAGGCCGACCTGGAAACGATGGACTGAGTCAGTGGGATTTGCAGGGAAAAAATATCCCAAAATGGCCAAACTCTTCAAATTATATAGTGAAATGGTATATTTGTATATCTGTATAGTGTAATGGCCATTTGTAATTATGGAATTATGATTTTATTTTTATTACACATATTATGGTATATATTTGTATATCTATACAATTCTATACATTTATACGTAGATTTTTGTAAGCTCATGTGTTGGGTAAATGTAGGTTCTAAGGTATGGTCCATACGCAGATGTTTTTTTTTCTCCTGGCATCCGAAAATACAACATTGGTTTGGACGATTTCCTATATGAATAACCGACAAAATTATTGTACTGTAATACTAATTTAGTTTTGCTTCGCCTTGGCCCTTCCGAGGTTGCACAAAACCTTCATAACCGATAGGGGAAGGCCCTAATTTGTGCATGGCATTAAATTTATAATTTTTGTCCGCTACTCATATGTTTAAATCGAAAATCATTGCGGTTTCCCAGACACCCAAGTTAGATTGTCAGAGGGTTTGTGTTCCTCATTTAGGATCCGCACGCCAATAATTTTGATTTAAACATATATTGGAATAATATGGAATAATGATGCTCCTATGGGGAATGACCATGAATATGGGTTCTGAATGTTAGTTTTCAGAGGTGTACCCTGGATATCCCTGGATGATTCCCTGAGTCCACTGATGTTTCGCATGGTGCCTTCCTGTTGACCTTGTTTCCCCTTGAACTTGCCATAAATTGGGGGGGAAGTAAAGTATTGTTGCACAAACCCACGCTATACTTCATGGGTTGAAATACAATAACTTTCCCTATATGTTCCAATAATTTCCCATTATATATATGTATATATATATGTATATATATATATGTATATATATATGTATATATATATATATATATATCGTGCCAATGTTTTTCCCATGATGTTCCCAAAATCTTCCGTGCATCCTCTTGATTTTCCCAATTTGTTCGCGGGGATTTCCCAGCCGTGACGACCCCGGAGGCGCCCTCGTTGAGTCATTAACCTTGAGCTTCCAGCGTGCTGCGAACGAATTAATCAGAGATGGACCGAGTGGCATGGCGGGAGGGGATCCCTCAGGGTTGAAGGAACAACGATTGATAGATTTGATAGACTTTGAGAGAGTCTGATTAGACTTTACAAGTAACACACGAAGTCAACCAAGCACAAAAAAATAACCAGGCACAATTGAGATGTGTTTTAAAGTATCAGTAGAATCCTGAAGACGGGTTTCAGATGCATTTAAGATGGGTTGAAACAGTAAAATTAAGATGATGTAACATAGCTGCAAAAACATGGGGTTCAAGCAACATACGATGGAGATACAACCAACCAAAACGATTCAAAATGGAGAATGGAATTGGTCTTAAAACTGCTGAACTATGTGGACCCTGAAGTCCAAAGTGTTGACCCAGTGGATTGCATACTGCAATAGATCAGCTCGGAGGTTGACAGAACTTGCCTATCAGCTGATGGTTGGGTTTCACCTGACTCGGGATCCCTTAAACTTTTGGGGAATTTTGCAGAGGTTTGTTGGGAAAGATTCAGGTGATCACTGTACAATTGGTACTGTGGATCAAGATTTTCAAGATTCTGTCATATTTTACTCAAACAGCTTGGGTGCTTAAGTTCTTGGCCGCCTGGATCTGCTTGGTGCGCAGTGGCTTTTTGATCACTTTTGAGACTTCGAGCTGCTTGAAGTTGGGCATTGCAGATCTTTCAGGGTAAATTGTAGCGGCCTCACCGCGACATCACTAGAAGTGAGGTTAACAGCCCAAAAACTTGATGATGGTTTTTAAATTCGTTCACTAGACTAGATTGTTTTTATTTGATTCATGATGGTGATTCAATTACCCGAACAGTTCACCCCACTTAACCTTATTTCAGGTTGGTGACTCAGTAACTTGTGACTTGGCCAGGTCATTGCACAAAGACCCATGTTTGATGCTTAAGACCACAACACCATCACACACCTTATGATGGTTGTAGTAACCCCCAACAAAAATAATAGAAAACAAATCCACTCCATGTATTAGTCTATCTTTTCAGGGCTATCCCCCGAGGTCGGCAGTTGTTAAGGGAGATGGGCGACTGGCTTTGCCACACGCCCCGTGGCTTTCTGGGATGGGAAGGGCGGCCAGGTTGCATGGTACTGCTACATATTGGGAATGATGCGCATGGTCCATGCATGGTTATCCAGCACTTATTTATTGGAAGTAATTATATGATACATACAGTTTCGGTTGTTCAGGCGTTGTTGTTTCAAATCCGAAGGCCTTAGGCAAGGCTCAGATCCTTTGATTCATTGATACGGCATGATACGGCTTTGTCCAAAACTATACTATGGCCTGTTTATTTGGGAAGATTACGAACCAATTATTTACTCAACAGTCATTTAATTGTGTTACCATGAGGTCTTGCTTTTTTCCCCCTAAATTTCAAGACAGCCTGAATTTTTGGTCCCCATCCCCCCTAACATTAAACATTGCCATTCTATGGTCGATCCAACTCCCAGCCGACAAGTTCGTTTTCGGAAACCGTTGGGGTGCCGTAGTCGCCCACTTAGTCGCCCACCCCGAAGCCAAACATGGATGTGGAAAAGCCATGGAAATCATGGAAAATCCGTTCGGAACATGATCTGCAAATGGTCGGTTTCCCACATCGAACTGTTAGTTTGCAGGAGGTACTTTGGTTTTGCTGGATTTATATAGTCTGATTGAATAATGTTTTATCAGGGACTTCATCTAGTATACTCTAATATATAACTATATTCTACAGGTGATTCGAATTGCAGGAAAGAACATCATCTCATTTGCTGGGGTGCAACACTGACTCAAAGGGGAAAACGTTATATACCATTGTTTACATTGAAGGTTAATCAATATTCATCAATTTCCAAGATAGGATCCCTCCAAATTCACCTCATAGCCTGGAAAATCCACATTCAGTTCGAGGATCTTCCCATGCCGGTAGTTCGGGGTGCCCAGGCCCGGAGCCTGCCTGGATCGCTTGAAACACTGGCTGTCCTTGGAGGAGGACGAAGCGGGGAAAAGTATGAGAATCCAATAGGATGGAATGGGCTACTGTACATATTGTACATTACTCTACATTACTCTACTCTATTCTCAGATTTGATTATTGTGGCGAGCTTCGCCAGAGTTTATCAAACATGGGCATTCTCACCATCAAAAACGGGAATAGAAACGTGCATGAACTTAAACTGGATTCCTCAAAACGATCAGATTACGATCAGTATGTTTGACCCACAAAAATGCGGATCAAAGCCTATGATTTTGTATCGTATTTGTGGGGTGGCTTTTATTTGGTGACCATAGCATACCATGGCTGCGGGCCCCTATGTTAATGGGGAGGAATAGTATGATAAACCTGTAATTGGATTATATTAGATTAATCAGGGTACCATATCTTCAGACAAAGCCATATTAAAAAATATTATACATGTTTATATTTTTTTAGTATTTTGTAGTGGGGTATTAGTTAGACTAATCAGATTTTAGGGTACCATATTTTCCGGCGAACCCATATACATATTTTAAACATTTTGTAGTGGGGTAAATGGGCCAGAAAGACCCGAGAACCCATAGCAGATCATGTAGAGGAACTTGTAGGTCTGGGTGAAGTTACATGCAGCCTTGATGGCCCCCAACCTGCCAATCCGGACAGAGAAACGTCTGCAAATCTAGCTTTTTTCTCCAACAACGCAGCCACCTCCAAGCTAAGAAACTGGGCGAAGACGGCGTAGGCGAATGCCATTTAATTTGAATGCAAGCATCACTCAATCAAAAGAACTCATGTAAAGGTGGCACAAAATTGAGCGGATTATTTTTTGCAGCAAATCTGGAGGCACACCCCATCAAGAAAGCGAAGATATGATCCGGAAAATGGAATGAACGAGAAATGTGCAGGGAAGCTACGTGGCAAAATCCAAAACTCAACAAATGTGTAGATCTCAGGGCATTAATGGACAGCTGGTGGGATTGGAACAGTCGCATGGCAGCTCGCTTGAACCTTTGGACAAGCACTTTCAAAGTCATGGATTGATTTATGAAACCCGGAAAGTATCCAAACTGGAAAACAAAATCTGCCATGATTTCAACCCACGACGTTCTATGGATGGATCTATGCGATCCAACGACCCATGCCGATTGGGAGAAAAATTCACAAATAGCGCCAGCTGCGCTGGGGCTAAGCCGCATGGGTCCGGCAGCCAAAAATGCAGGATCTGGACTTGTGACTAATGGCTGCCACATTTCTTGGGGATAAGCGATGGCGATATACCTGTTATGGTGAGAAGATACTCTAGTTCTGATAAAAGGACTAATTGGTTCGCCTCGTTTAACACAAGAGATGAACATGTTTTCGGCATCACCGGCACGGATTACCAGTGGGCGACACGTCCCAGAACAAACAGAGCCCTTAGAAAAAATCCGAGTTTTGGGGGCGCAGGAGCATACAAATGATGAAGTCAACACCTTGTAATGGGGAAAAAAATCTTGCCCCGCTGGTATCTCCGCTGGTAACATTTTGAAGAGCGAACTACGTGTGGCCAACGTATGGACCAAATGGGCCTGCAATGACATGGCCAATGCAAGTTCTTCGCAGGCCGTTTGTTGGCGGGCTTCGAGGAAAGCCCAGGCAGTATCTTTTGCTAACTTGTCAGCACAAGAATTACCTTCGGTGAGAAAAGGATCTTGACAAAGGTCGTGTTTACCACAGTGGGCTTTTACTTTATACATCGCGAAAGGCTGGCTTCGCTTGTTGGCCACAAAATTGAACAAAACCCACAGATCCCGATTGTCAAGATTGGTGATACATTTATTTGAGAAGCCACAGCGTCGTAAGAAATTGACAATGTTGACCACATTTGCACAATCGGAATAAATTGTGATATTTCCGGCGCAGTGCCACAAAGCTGCGATGACTGCAAATATCTCAGCCCGTTGGCTTGTTTGATCAAGGCCTGGTAGGAGATAAGCTTTTGAGCATCCACACTTCGAAACAACGGCTGCTGCAGCAGATCTCATAGGTGCCCAAGAGTGATGAAAACAAGAGCCATCAACAAAAATTGGACTTTCAGGCTCAAAAGCTTGAAAATCCTCCATGGGAAGAACGGGCCTAGAGACAACTTCCTGCCGCCACTGGGTGATTAGTTCACCTTCTGGGAAAATGCCTGTACACCACGTTGTGTCATGGAAGAAACTTGAAGGTCGATTCCTTTCGTAGAGACCACACGATTTGAATAAATGAAGGTGGTCTTCTCTTTGGTCGCATCCTTCACACTTATCATCCGTAGTAATCCCTGCGGCTTTGCATCGTGCTCTAGTAAGAACACTGCCAGTCCTCAGGGCCCGCAGTAGGGACTTCGTGTAGGCATGATTCTTTGGCAAGAATTGAATTGCATCCTGCGCAAGTTGCATCTAGCAATCTAGCTTGGTGACTAAATCCGGACAACACAAATAAACACAATTTGTCAAATGAAATGAATTGTTGAGGTTTATGAAATTGGTCTTACCCCTAGCCCTAGTCTGGTAATGGTATGATGTTTATTATGACTGATCCGTTATCATGGTTGGTGCAACATCAGTGCAAGGAAGAACTCAGAGTGGCGGTGGAACATTTCATGCGATCTGCTCTGCAGGTCTGGCAAGGGTTGGAAAGAAAAAGGGTCCACGATGCACCGTGCACTTCTGGCTGTAGTTGGGGCATATTATATGCAATGCATTTATTACCATAAAATTGTACAATTAACGTACTACTGGGGTTATATTCTTAAAATGTCATTAAATGTGTATATAACCATACTCGTGGGGGACATCAACTGCACCCCCAAGTATCTAAATTAAATACTTCTCGAGAGGGTGAAACCAGGCACCAGCTCTCTGGTCAGGCAGTAGGCACGTGTTTAGTCGTATCATGTATATGTATGTATATATATATATATACAATGTGGATTGAAAGAGCTCAGAGGTCCAATGCCGAGCGCATCAATTGGGCTGGTTGGACTTCTTCTATGGTTACTGTAAATGGATAAATATAAGGATAGTACTGTCATTTTTTTTTGTTTAGTCGCCGATTATCGGTGCAGGAAATCTGCACGACGGATGCCTCCGTCGCAGGTCACAAGTAGCTTTCGGTGCAGTTAGAAGTTATAAGCCGTATGATTACCAGGATTATACTATGATTACTTGAATGATCTTGAATCCAACAATTGCTGATTCACTCCACATCATAAATGTTAACTTGTGATGATTGCAGCTTCAACCCCAAGGATCATTTCCGGATCAATGCCCGTGCTGCTGAAATTATCTCAAATCCCATGGATCACAGCTACCCCTGTGAATCCTGGTTCTTGTTGGGTAAACGCACGTGTTTAAATGACTCCCATCCCCATCCCCATGCCCTTCTGGCTTCGTTCCATTCTAAAATCAAAACAAAACATGCAGACTCGAACCACTCCCCAACTAAACTTAAGTTATGAAATGTCCATTAAGTCATACAATCACATAAAATCCCCATGTTCAGATCGTTTCTTTCACCCCTGACCAGGCAGCCAACAGCAGTGAAGACCTGCGTAAGCTGCTGCGGCCCCGAGCCTTGAAATCCTGGTTGCCCCCAGCCATGCTGCAGCGCCTTGCGCCTCGGATGCTGGGCAAGCCATGAAGAGTTGGAGGACAATGAACCATAGGAAGGTGGATTTGAGCCATAAAAGATCACAAAAGGATGATTTGAACCGCAAAAAAATGGGATTTGAGCTATAAAAGATGAGGATTTGAGCCATAGAAATTTGGGATTTGAGCCAGAAAGATAAGTAGGATTTGAACCACAAACATGCAGATTTATATAAGTGGGAAACAGCTGGGTTTGAGATTGAGACGTGCAAATTGGGATTTCAGCCGTAAATATAGGATTGGAAACGGTTAACATGGTGATTTAAGCAATAAACAGGGGGAGACCACCAGCATCAGACTCCACCAGCCAAAAATGTGGAGGAAAGGATGAAGAAATTCACGCATCATCCCAGCACGTGGCTACGTAGTTACGTTTCCACACCTGAGGATGTCCATTTCTGAAATGTTTTTTTTCAAAATTGAGTATATATATATATATGCAATGCAACAGCGGCTCTACTGGTCGTTTCAAGTAAACCGTATAAGTTTTAGGGAATTACTAATGACCAGTTTGGATACATGGCTCAAAATGATGAGCCCCCGAAGTCTGGATGATTTCCCAACGAAGAGGTTGGAAGACTACGTTCATCTTAGGGCGCTACCAGCAGGGTGGTCGTGGTTCCAATGGTTCCTTCTTGGGGGTGCATCCCATTCAGTAAATGTGTCAAAAAAGTCCAGTCACATTAATGGAATGTCCCTACTTACATATGGGATTATATGGGATATGTATATATATATATATAACCAGTTATATACATATATACATGGATATGTAATATATGGAAATATGGATATATATATATATTATGTATATATATATATATGAATTATCAAAGATGATTATATATGTCCTCACCTACATGGGTTTTCATGGCCCTGAGGCATTCCACTTCATCGAACACGAGCCGGCCTTCAAGGAGGAAGAACAGGTGGACGCAAGCGACCAGACCGTGGGAAAGTTGTGCCTTCAAAAGGGGGAACATAATATACATATTCACATCTTTATTACACTATATTATATATCATAATACAATTTTATCATATATATGTATATATATATATGTTTTTTTTAAAAAAAAAACAAACAAAAATAATAATATAAGATACTGGATTATATATTATGATATGTATATTTCTCATGAATAATGATGCCTCAAATTAGTTGTTTTGTTTGGTGCTTTCATGGAACAATGTGGGACATTTTGTCCACGATTCACCAAGACCCTTGGAGCTTCGGCTTGCCGGTGAGGATTTGTCCACCAACAAGTTGCTGTTTATAGCGTAGCTCACCTCATAGTGTTGTTATTGTTTCAAAAATTGAATGAACGGAACATGTTGTGCAGTGTTCACAGCACATAGTAGCAGCCACCAGTCACAAGAAATGGGGGAGTATGGGGACATCCATCCATGTTCATCCCCTGGTGTCTTGCAGCTGTTTTTTCCGGATCCACCGTGCCAGGTGGCTTTCTGGGTCACCTGGTGTACTTCCGGAGGACCATCTGTGGATGATGTAAAGGAACTCAGGGTCCACCTAGACCTGCAAATGGTGGTTCGTGTTTGGGAAGACATGGAAAACCCATGAAAATTTCAGGAATATCTTCGATTTTATTTTTTCAAGAAATCAGAATTGGGAGATAGAGTACCCAGATACTATCAGTGATTTGCCTTATTTCTATGTCGGTGATGGGGGTTCAAGGATCAGGATTTCACCAGCAATGGAGAGGACATTGACAGCAAGATATCGATGATGATTGAATATGTCCAGATGAATACCATTGTATCATATGATTCATATTATGATATTATCGAATATGAAACAAGGATTCCTGACAAAGAATATGAATGATATATGGTTGAAATTGATTGAATATGTCCAGTAGCCAGTGCAGAAACACGACTGTCAATAGCTCATGTGACGCCACATTTGTTTGACAATGAAGTAAATTGGTGTCTCCCGACAATTATGATTATATAGTGAGAAAAACATGATTCATACATATTGTTATATATTAATATAGCCGCACTATATTACTATATTATTATATAATATAGCGGTTATTTGACTATGTCCATCTATGTCCCAAAAACGTTGAGTTTGTTCGGAAGACGAAGGATTCAGCTGCGATACCTTAGTCGAAATCTATGAGGCACTGAGACCGGGGGGATACCATGGGATTTTTTGGGTAGCCTGTTTTGAGACAAATCCGGAGGGCAGGCTATTTTCAGATGATTGTGTTTGGCCATTCTTATATATTCTTATTTTCAAAATGATCGAAGGAAGTTTAGAAGTCCAACTTCCAACAATATGGACAGATGGAAAAGCAGAGGTGGGAAGAGTCAGAGAAGAGAAAGGCAGAAGAAAGATGAAGAAAGAAGATCAGCGAAGAGAGAAGATCCAGATGCGCGAAAAGGTAGAAAAGTGTCAACACACATCAAAACACAGTGTTTTTCAAATTCCAATGTTTTGTGGCTCCGGAGGGTCAAAAAGTAGGCTCGCTAAAGCGGCGGATGCGGAGCCATCTGGGGAGATGAGAGATGACAAATTGCACGCGCGAAGCAGATCTGGAAGCCAAAAAGTTAAAACACCTCACGTCCGAGCAATTTTGGCAGTATGGATGTCCAACGCCTTGGCTCCGGAGCACTTTTGGAAGTTGAGATGCCGAAAAGTGCACACCGTTGTGGCGCGAAGCACAGTTGGAGGTCAAAATGGTAAAAACACCACGTTTGGACCACTTTTGGAAGCTGCGATGTCGAAGACGTGCACGCCGTTGTGGCACGAAGCACATTTTGAAGTCAACATTTTAAAAGCACACCACTTCTGGGCCACTTTTTAGACGATCAACGTCACAACATGAAAAGCAAAAACAGCAGCAACAACAACAACAACAAGAAGAACAAGAACACGAAAAACAACAACAAGAACAATAACAAACAACAAGAACAACAAGAACAACAAGCATAAGAATAGCAACTACAACTACAGCTACATCTTGCTTCGGAGGTGCAAAAGGGTGACGGACGGCCGAAATTTGTTGTTTCCAGAAATTGAAATTTTTGCGGCCACCTGTTCGGGATCTACTGGCTTCCTTTTGTGGTCCATAATGGATAGACAGATTGTCTTCGTTTGCAGATCTTTGTGGCAAGGACTGAAAATTTTGATTTCGGTGATTTTTCTAATTAGAATAAATGGGATCTGAGTAGCATGTAAAAAAGCATGTAACATGCATACAGGAACCCCCAAACCATCAAACAATTAGACTGCTGTAGTGTGTTTAATTTTAATTTAGTCTTGAACCCCCTGTTGAAGGTACCGCCCATGTCAGAAAATACAAACAGGCCATGGAGGGTCAGGTTTCACTTTCGAAGCCACTGCTGCCAGCTCCTGAAACACTGGAATCTGGCCAGGAATCCTGAAGTATCCCAAAATCCTTGAATTGATTTTTATATAGCCAAAAAGACGCAGAAAGGTAAACCCCTACTAAAGTTTAGTTGGTAGATTTGACTATATTGTTTTTTCCCACTTTTCGCATGTTACTATAAGGGAACATCCACAGGGAATCCCTATACTTTGTAAAACAGTGGTTACCTGTTACCTTTTACCTCATGTTTCCGGTAAAATTTCCTTTCACTTTCCCGGTCCCAAAGAAGACCATTTTGGGAATTGCCATCACCACCATTGTCAGTTGTAGGGCTGGCCATACAGCCATGGAGTATTCTGGTATGAACTTGCCATCATCACATCAACTAGATCGAATTAGTAAGTGCCCAGCCATGTTGATCCTCGGTATCATTAGTAAGTCAAATTTTCATCACTTTCATATTTAGGTCCCATTTTCTGAGTTTTTTCCATTCACTAGTGGCTTAGTCTTAACAAGCCTCTCAGCTTTGATTCAACTCCCGGACCCTATGCACCACCAGACCACGAGGCCATAGCTGCAGCCACCAATGCGCGCGCTCCGTTGCTGACTCTGGTGGGAGGTGACCCTAAAGTGGCGCCAGCACTACCGGAGGCCCCTGCAGATCTGCAGATGATAGGGCCATCTACTTGGGGGATTTCGTAGAAAATACCCTATATTTTCTTATTTGGGCCTGGGGGTGATTTGTTATTGATGATCCCATTCACAATTCTTTGGTAGTTCGAATGAATGAATTACCTGTTTGGGATCCATCTTAGCGCGCTACAAGCCATTTTGAAAAAATCACGAAGATCTGATCGAAAGAAATGGTACGGATTGATGTTTCCCGGCTAATTATTGGCCCCACTTAAAATCCGGTGAAATGATAGGTATATATATATAATTATATATATATACATGTATACGCAAGATCACTCACTGCCGGTTTTCTCCGGACCCATGCATGTGCGGCACGAATGACTTAAGCGACTTCTAAACCCGAAGAAACTGAGACGGCTAGCGGAAGGAAAATCAGTCTTCAAGGCAGGATGGACAGTCTTAACCATAAACCTTATGACAACAACTTCGCAGACAATTTTCGAGAAAGGTTGAATCTTCGCAATAGCACAATGGCACCACATTAAAGATCTAGAAATCCATTCCAGCAATCATTCGCTCAAAAATATTTCCCATTCACGTTAGTTCCAGAATATGCGACTTCAAAAACTCCTTACATACAGCGGCAAAAACCACCGTGGCTCCAGGGGCAAGGATTGGGATACCTGACAAAGATTCCCAATACCATGCTACATCGCTGTGTGAGATGTGAACGGTGTACCACGCCTGAAATAGTTCCAAGCTCCGAGTCCAGTAATGGGGAATGGGAAAAATAGAAACCGGTTTCCATACATGAACAAAACAACCACACCAAAACCAAAAAAAACAACATCCCACACAGATACGTACATATATAGGGGCACGATTTGAAGTGAACAATACACCTAGCAATTGTAATGCTTAGAGTTCCCGGTTCCCGGTTCCGCCAATGGTATGGCAACCCCCTTCCCTCAAAAAACTACCGTCTGCATGCTATTTGCAGCATTTGAGAGTCATAGCCTCCCATTTGCTTGCTATTTGCATCATTTCGGAGCCACAACCGTCGACTTGCACCCTATTTGCAGCATTTGAAAGCCATATGCTACCTACATACGACCTACGTGCTGTCGATGTAGTAACAGATTGTGTCTACATTGTTTTTTTCTACCTGGTAAACCTACGTATATACAAGCCATAGCGTATCCATGTACTATTCATCAGTTGCCTTTGATTGTGTTACCAGCATTACAGAGTAGCTGCATAACACGTATGTTCTATTTCCCCGCCTGCCAGGTGAGGGTCTCTAGATTTATCAGGGTTGCTTCCGCCTCCTTCCTCCTCCTCCGGCAGCTTCGGGCTACGCCCTCAACTAACTGCGAGCTCCAGATCTCACTAGGCACTGCCGGACCTCAACCGCGAGCTCTAGTGGGCACTGCCGGACTTCAATTGCGAGCGCAAGATGTCACATAGAGTGTCAAATAATAGAATGTCAGAAGAGATGTCAGATAGAATGCATGATAGACTGTCAGGGCGAATGTCATAGTCAGAAACTATGTCAGAATAGTGTCAGGGTGGGGATCACTTGAAGAAAGGCAATCAGTTCTAATTACATACATGCATACATGCATACATGCATGCATGCATACATACGTACATACAGACAGACAGACAGACAGACATACAGACATACAGACATACAGACATACAGACATACATACATACATACAAACATACATACACACTAATACATATACAAATAGATATGCTTGTACACTTTTGTCTTTACTCATGCGCAGCACCGAAAACCACCAGAACCCCCACCCCCCACCACAGGGGGAAGAGCCGGAGAAGGCAACCACATACATCTTAATCCGTCATACATACTTATATTGTACTTCCTCAAAATACATGGCAATGACTTCAAGCTACAATGATACCTTTGTATATGCTATGTATTTCATGCGTAGAACGACAATTGTGTGTGTATAATATATATATAATTTAGATACAAATAACCTGTATATTCCATACATACAAACTAACTATAGTCTATCTATCTGTATCTTTGAGAAATATATATATATTTTTTATATGATATTTATATATTCAAATACATGGATAAGCCACCCAGTTACTACTCATCTGGCGTCAGGTTATTATATTGTGCATCCATTGCTTATTCCTTGTATATACTTCAGATTCAACCTCCTCCCCGACTCCCCGCCCACCCACACCACAGGGGGAGGGGGGAACCATGATACGGTCAGACCCCATACCAAAAGGAGGAGAGGTGTATATATATATATATTATACAGTGCCCTTTTCTATCAATGTATATTTTATAATCATAATTATTAATAATTATTAATTGTATATAATACACTCATACTGATCGTGACCGAAGTGGCATTCGTCATTTTGCTAGGATCAAGTGGCGCGAATCCAGCGACTTCTCATGGGTGCCTTGGCAACTTTGAAGCTGTGGCCCCCTAAGGACCTTGTTGCATAGATATACAACTAAGACTAGTTGGACCACGGCCTTTTGTACACATCGGGGGGGCGGGGTGGGGCGGGTTTGGGGGGTGGGGTGGGGCATGTAATAACGTTCATGTGAACTTGCGGAGGAAGGACATGCTTGTCTGTGGCTGCCGGTAGGTGCATGTATGCACGGGTGGAGGTGGGGTGGGGTGGGGTGGGGCATGTAATAACGTTCATGTGAACTTGCGGAGGAAGGACATGCTTCTCTGTAAGTTCTCTGGAACTTTCCACTCATGCGTCATGCCACGCTATGTAAGTTCTCTGGAACTTTCCACCCATGCTACGTTACTGTAAGTTCTCTGGAACTTTCCACTCACGCGTCATTCCACGCTATTGTAAGTTCTCTGGAACTTTCCACTCATACGTCATGCTACGTTACTGTAAGTTCTCTGGAACTTTCCACTCATGCGTCATGCCACGCTATTGTAAGTTCTCTGGAACTTTCCATCTGTTCATGTGGTGCTGGCATTGTACCTTAAACAATCCAGATCCGCAAAGGTTCTTGGAAGAACTCGAAGCGTTGCTGTGACCAACACAGGAATCAAAACATTTCAGTTTGAATATTTTGAGAATTCTCACAAACCCCAAAAATGGTAGTTTCGTCCAGGCAAAATGCTTGTTTTTGAAAATATGCACCAGACCAGAATGAGGCTTAAGGGGTTAACGGCCTTAAAAACCACATCAAAACATGTCAGGTCGAATTAGTTTGGGAATTCTCAAAAACCTCAAAAATGGTAGTTTCGTCTAAGCGAACGCCTGTTTTTGAAAATATGCAACAGAATAAGGCTTAAGGGGTTAACGGCCTTAAAAACCACATCAAAACATGTCAGGTCGAATTAGTTTGGGAATTCTCAAAAACCTCAAAAATGGTAGTTTCGTCTAAGCGAAATGCCTGTTTTTGAAAATATGCAACAGAATAAGGGGTTAACGGCCTTAAAAATCACATCAAACAAAAACCTCCTGGCACGAGCACATCAAGAATCATCCATGATACACCGTTGATCACAAAAAACCCACGGCCTTCTAAAGGCCGTGCTCCTAGCTAGTTAAATAAAAAATGAATGAATATTTATATATACATAAATACATATACATAAATACATATACATAAATACATTTACATAAATACATATACATAAATACATATACATAAATACATATACATAAATACATATACATAAATACATATACATACACCATATATATATACGTATATATATACGTATATATTTACACTTGTACATTACTTTGCACATACCTGCAAAAATACAAATATACATTGTTTAAGCATTCAAAACTACGGAGATAACTATATAACGACTGATTTCAAAATTTCTTTACATATTTTTGCATTACATAAATAACTATACACTTTTTATTGCTATGTACAGTATATGTATACAAATTTTCTGTATACATGAAATTCACTCTTTGTATCTAGCTTTTTGTGAAAGAACATTTTATATGTACATGAAAATTATACCGTTAACAAAAAACATCAAAAAACACAGAATACGATATACATATTTCTATATCTATTGTTACTTCTCGAATCTAGTTGACGGTTTGAATGTTGGCATACATTCCACCGCCGTCCTGACTTCAACTTCACAGCTCACCTCACCGTCAAATGTGGTTAGTAATTGCGCATGTCACGGTATCCATCTGTTTCCGCTTTGTGAAAAGAAATGTGGTTGTTTGTAGTTTGTTGTAATTTGGTCAGCATATTGCACAAACGTGTGTGTATAATACCTGCATATAATATAGCTAAACATAAATACAAATAAATATGAATAAATAAATATGAATATATATATATATTGATATTATATGTGTATATATATATATTATTCCAGGATACATACGTAATGTTCATGCGAGTAATTCAGGCAAAGTAATGTATCTCGATTTGTACTCGCTTCACATTTAATAATCATTTTTCCACATGAACATGATATGCCCAGGTATATACATACAGGTTCATATTTGTTTTAGAGGACATGATGCCAGGTATATCCCCAGCATTTTTTTGCCCAATGGCCAAGGCCTTAAACGTGCCTTTGGCGTCGCCTTGGCTGAACAGAGCTACGTCAGCGACGAGTCGCGATTCTGGCAGCGCTGGACGCAAGGACGGTCGATGCGGATTCTATGGGATTTCGCGAATGAAAATTGGTGACCTCACCCATTGAAATTTGAACTTAAGACATGTAAAATGTAGACAGTTAGAGAAACATGAGGAATATGAACTTATAGAATCAATGAATGCAGGATATGGGATCCTCCACCCATGGGCACCCCAATTATTATTGCATTTCCGGTGTAGAAGATGATGATAAACCACCGGACAAGGGCGCTTGATTTTTGGGGCAAATCCATCTAACGGGGGTTGATTCATCGATGCGGTATTATTATTTTTTGTTTTCTTAACATGTTTAATCCACAAAATCCAAGCATAGATGGGATGGCATGTCACTGGCATCTCCAAACTTTGCTGGGTTTTGCCAAACATATTTTTTTTAAAGGTTTGTAATGCAACTGTTGTATGTTTGCACATGGATGTGATGTTTCAATGATTGACCCTTAAAGAACTCCTGTTGCCTCCCGGATATGTCCTTTGTAGCAGAATCACAACAACCTGGAATCCCTGAATGGGTTTAACGTCCTTCAAACGCTGCAGGAAACACCCTGATATGGTACCATAATTGTACCATACATATAATATTATAAATGCAGTACATTGTATACATTATATAACTATAATTTGGCATTGATGATGATAGTAATGATGACTCATGATTCATTATCATACTGGTCAGATCCCATCAGTGCATCCATTTCCAGTTCCCCCAAGTTGCGCTGTGACGGTTGCAGGCACAGTGCCCAACGATATGCTGCAGCACGCCGCTCAATGTTTGGGCTTCTCTGCCTTGCACGGGAGGCGTGTGGAGGGTGGACTCGGATCGATGGATGGCCCTTTAGAAGCCCACATCAGGGTTTTTGTTGCCCCTATCTTGAAAAGCTTCACCTTCCCCATTCGAATGGTTAAAAATGGTGAACCCACCTCAACTCCCATTAAATTATGTTCGATATGTATTTTAATAGTCCATTAATTCCCAGTAAATATCCTTTAGATCACGGTAGTAATTCCAGTAAATCACTCTTTGTTGATGTTTAATCCCAAAATGTTCCATCCCATGTAAAAATCCATTCAGATCCCATTCATTGATTCCCAGTAAGTACCATTAGGCGGGGGTTTCATAAATGGAGGTACCCCAATAGCTGGATGGTTTATAATGGAAATCAAAAAAATGTATGGTAGCTGGTGGTACCCCCATGACTTAGGAAACCTCCATACCTAAATTTACCATCCCATGTTTCATTGCTAACATATCACCAAAGCCCATTAAATCCACATAACCAACACTCAATCATCATGAAACCAACATAAACCACCATAAAATCACCTTGAAATCCACATAAAACCACCATAAAACCACGGTAACACCACCATGCAATCCACATAAAATCACCATGAATTCACAATGAAACCCACATTAAATCACCATGCAATCCGCATAGAATCACAATAAAATCACCACAAAAATTACCATAGAATCAACATAAACCACCATGAAATCACCATGAAATCACCATAAATCCACATAAAATCACAAAAAAAAACACGTAAAATCACCATGACATCCACATAAAGTCCGCATGAAATCATCATAAAATCTACGTTTAAAAAAAAAACACCATAAAATCCACATAAAATCACACTAAAATCCACATAAATTCAGAATAACATCCACATAAAATAAACATAAAATCGACATAAAATCACCATGGAATCCACATAAAATCTGCATAAAATCCACATAAAATCCCGATAGAATCCACATAAAATCACCATAAAATCCATATAAAATCACCATAAAATCACAATGAAATCAACATACAATCACCATAAAATCACAATAACATCCACATAAAATCAACATAAAATCCATATAAAAATGACCATAAAATCAACATAAAACCACCAACAAATCCACATAAAATCACCATGAAATCCACATGAAATCTACATAAAGTCCACGTAAAATCATAAACTCAGTATAAAATCCACATAAAACCACCAACAAATCCACATAAAATCACCATGAAATCCACATAAAATCAGCATAAAATCCACAGTAACTCTGCCAGGCCCTTCCCCGCCGTGAGCCCAGCCGTGGTGCGCGCGGCCTTGAGCGAGGCGCTGGCCAAGGCGGAGGTGGCCATGCTCGCGGTGCAAGGACCCAAGGTCCCCAAAGGGTCCCCGGGGATCACCGGGGGTCCCGGTGATTTCACATGGGAGTTC